GGTGCTGTACCCATCCTCTGTCAAAAGCTGCTTGATATACAGTTCATCGATCTGGCTGAGCAGGCTTTAAGTACCTTGGCCAAGATTTCAGTCGACTTCCCAGCCTCAATTGTGCGGGAAGGTGGATTGACCGCTTGCCTTACATATCTGGATTTCTTTCCAACCAGCACTCAACGCACAGCAGTCAGTACGGCTGCCAACTGCTGTCGCAACCTTCCTCATGACTCCTTCCCTGTGGTGCGGGATGTAATGCCCACTTTACTCAACGTCTTGGCTAGCAATGACCCCAAGGTCGTGGAGCAAGGGTGCTTATGCGTATCACGGATTGTCGAGAGCTTCAAGCACCGACCTGATAATTTGGAGGAGCTTATCGAGCCTGCAATGCTCAAAGCTGTTCTTCGTCTCCTACTTCCAGGAACGACCAACCTGATCGGGCCTCATATCCACACGCAGTTCCTTAGGGTATTGGCAATTGTATCGAAAACAAGCCCACGGTTGTCAAACGAGCTTCTCAAGATGGATGTAGTGGATACGCTTTATCAAATTTTGACTGGCGTGTCACCACCACAGGATGTGGATAACACGGCCGTCAAGATGGATAGCGTGCTAGTTATGCAAGCATTGATTCATCGGCCCCGTGAACAAGTATTTGAAACTCTCAATGTCATCTGCGAGCTACTACCAGGTGTTCCAAGCCGCGATGCCTCAAAGACAGACAATCTGCTAAGCTCATACTTTGATAGCCACATGTCCATCGGACTGAGATCCCCTAAAACCAAAGAGACAGTGGAGGAGAGGCGGTCCTTGCTCAACAACTGCAAGACCGAGCTTAAGCGTTTTGCAATGATTCTGTTTCCAACTTTGACAGATGCCTACTCGAGCACAGTCAACCTGCATGTCCGCCAGAAAGTCCTGATTGCACAGCTGAAAATGCTGCACATTCTCGAGCCTTCTTTGATTGAGGACGCCCTGGGCACAGTTCCTTATGCTTCATTCCTGGCTGCTATTCTGTCGCAGAAAGATCACCCTTCTCTCGTATCCTTGGCTCTACGCTGCGCTGAATTACTGTTCCAGCGGCTGGAACATGTCTACCAGCATCAATTCCACCGCGAAGGAGTTATATCCGCAATCATCAAACTATCCGAAGGCTCTTTGTCCGGAGACCAGGAGAACATCGATTCATCCGATCCCACAAACATAGGCACGACCACAGATCCATCGCGCGGCCCCAACCAAATCGCCGGGGAGAACGGGGGAGATGATGAGGATGAGGACGATGAAGCTGATGACTACGACGACGATGATGGCGAGGATGATGACCATGATGACATGTCTGATTCCGAGGATGACTTCATGGCGGGCCCACGCAGTCTACAAAAGATGGACAATGCCCTCAACGACCTAGTTATCCGGGATGCTCAAGCTTTCCTCGAGATATATGAAGCAAGCCATGGCGAAACCGTTCGAGCAGAGGCTCTGAGGATCTTGACAGCACTGAAAACTCTCGCCTTGGAAACTAAGTCACGCTATTCCCATGGTGGTGAGGGTGGTCTTCTCTTATTTAAACAGCTCGCATCATACTTTGATGGAGACGCCTTGGAGAGCATTACTAGCTCTGAATTGCTCAACTCCGGCATCATAGACGTTCTTCTGAGTGTCCTTGGCAATTTTCAAGCGCCCTCTATTCGCGATGCTAGAGCCGACTTTCTGCGCGCGTTTATGGGTGTTTCAATCTCAGACAAGGCTCAGAGCCAAAGCACCGCCACAACACCTTTCAGCGTACTTATCCGCAAGTTGCAAGACTTGCTGAGCAGGACGGAACATTTCGAGGTCCTCACCGTCAGCCACAATTCGCTGGAGAATACCCGGAGCAATGCCGCCTACATGCTGAGCAAACAGCTCCGACTCAAACTTGTTGCCGGTGAAGGGTCTGAAGTTCCTCGTCCTTATCGCAATATCATGGTGTCAATCCATGCTATTGCTACCTTCAAGGCCTTGGATGACTTCCTCCATCCCCGAATCGCTGTGGCGGAAAAGCCTCGCTCCTCGCGGACTAGGGACTCGATTCTCTCCCAAATTGCCAATGCATCCCGACTCCGTGAACAGCTGGCTTCCGGGTCTGGCATGAACCTCCCAAGTCATGCAGGGGGCCCGCATGGCAGTGTTGCCGATCCTACGGCGGATGGCGTCTATGATCCCACAACTGGTCACCCACATCATCAGTCAAATCAGGTCCAAGAGGACGAAGATGAAGAGCAAGATGATGAGCCCCTTGAGTGCGCAGATGAAAGGCAATTAACCGACGAAGAAGACGGCGGCGAGGAAGACGAGGACGAAGAACTCAACGCCATTGTTGATGATCTCGATGAGGATATGGAAAATGACAATGTCTCTGACCCCTCCGCAGTTAATATGGAGGTGGCATCATCGGGTAAGGTCACAGCTCGCAAAGAGGATGGTACCCGGGTTGGCACTCCCTCCCAGACAGCTGCATCAAAACCTTCATCATCAACACCTGCTGCTTCTCTCCCCAAGCGCATGCGCAATAGCTCTCTCGCCTCTGCCGGGCGCCCGTTCTCATCTTATGCCGCTGCGATGGCTTCGGTGCCCCAGGACTGGCACCTTGAGTTCTTCGTAGATGGCAAGCCGGTTACCAACGAGACAACTATCTACCGTGGTGTTCATCACGATCGTGAGGACTTGGATGAGACTAGTGCCAAAAACGTCTGGTCGGCAGTCCACACCATCACGTTTAAGCGCGTTCCCGGTCCTCCGCCGCCAGAGCCCTCGACCCTCACATCTACCACTCAGGCTTCTTCTGAGGGTGATGCCCTTGAGATTCCAGCCTCTCTCGACAAAGACCCCACAACTTCATCCATCATTCGCCTGCTTCGTGTTTTGCACGAAATGAACGCAACTATTGATGATATATTGACCGATAGCAAAGACTCTGCCACCATCACATCAGAGCCCTTGGCCCAATTCATAAACACGAAGCTCACCGCCAAGATCAACCGCCAACTCGAGGAGCCATTGATTGTGGCAAGCGATTGCCTTCCAAGCTGGAGCGAAGACCTAGCCAGGCTTTTCTCCTTCTTGTTCCCATTCGAGACAAGGCATCTATTCCTGCAGTCTACTGCATTTGGCTACTCACGCGCGATGATGAGATGGCAAAATTCTCAAAGTGGCGAGGACAGCCGACGGGACCTCCGCCGCGATGATCGCCCATTCCTTGGGCGGTTGCAACGCCAAAAAGTGCGCATCTCTCGTTCTCGCATACTTGATTCAGCATTGAAGGTCATGGAACTCTATGGGTCTTCCCCCAGCATTCTCGAGGTTGAATACTTTGAAGAAGTTGGTACTGGATTAGGCCCGACTCTTGAATTCTACTCTACTGTTTCCAGAGAGTTCTCGAAGAAGAAGCTTAAGATATGGAGAGACACAGACGGGAGCTCTACTGGAGAATACGCGTTTGGCAAGCGCGGCCTGTTCCCGGCGCCGATGAGTGATGCGCAAGCAGCCCAGGATATGGGCAAAAAGCAATTGAACATCTTCAAGGTGCTCGGGAAGTTCGTGGCCCGCTCAATGCTTGACTCCCGGATTATCGACATTTCGTTCAACCCAGCGTTCTTCCGTATCGCGGATACTCTGTCTTCGGTGGCACCATCTCTGGGCACTGTGAAGCTGGTGGATCATGACCTAGCGAAGTCCCTGGTCATGCTCAAGGAATTTGTCAATGCCAAAAACGCCGTTGAGGCAGACAAGTCACTTTCGCCAGCCAGCCAATCCGAGGCTGTGCAAAACATCACGGTCCACGGCGCCAGTGTGGATGACCTCGGGTTGGACTTCACCCTACCTGGATATCCTGCTATCGAGTTGATTCCTGGCGGCACCAGCGTGCCGTTGACAATTGAAAATGTTGACATTTACATCGAACGGGTGATCGACGTGACCTTGGGCAGCGGTGTCCGGCGTCAGGTGGATGCCTTCCGGGCTGGGTTCTCCCAAGTCTTCCCCTTCTCCTCCCTTCGTGCTTTCACTCCAAGTGAGCTCGTCATGCTTTTCGGACAAGCGGAGGAGGATTGGTCTATCGAGACCTTAATGGACTCTATCAAGGCCGATCACGGGTTCAACATGGACAGTCGGAGTGTGCGCAACCTATTGCAGACCATGAGCGAGCTGGACAACCAGCAACGCCGAGATTTCCTTCAGTTTGTCACTGGTAGCCCCAAGCTCCCCATTGGAGGTATGTTAATCCCACTTTTCACCGCACAAAATCCCACTGACTAACATAATCAATTATAGGGTTCAAGAGTCTCACGCCGATCTTCACTGTCGTGTGTCGCCCAAGCGAACATCCATATACGCCAGACGACTATCTCCCCAGTGTGATGACCTGCGTCAACTACCTGAAGTTGCCGGACTATAGTGACCTGGACGTTCTGAAGAAACGCCTCTCAGTCGCCATCAAGGAAGGCCAAGGAGCTTTCCATCTGTCCTAAACGTGCAGGTGTTCACTGAAAACTTCCGCTACCTCCTCTGCCATCTCTTCTCTTTTGCCGGCTTCCGTCTTTCTCAACCAGGACGAGAAATCATTCATGATGCGACGACATGCGACCTGTTTCTGCTTTGTTCCTCCCCAATTCCCAAGTTTTCGGACGGGCTGTTTCACTGTTCTTGTCTTTTCCTTCTTCATATGCCATCTGGGTCGAAAGGCGTCATGGCGGGGGGTTCCTTACGATAGTGGTATTAGATAGCAATGATCACTTTCTACTGAAATCTAGCTTTTTCTGGTGTAGGTTTCCTCATTCTGGGGTATCATTTTGTACAAAAGTACTGTAGCACCGAGTTTATTCTAATGAAACATGACAATTGCCCCATTGAATAGAGTGAGTTTTTCCCATCCCTCCGACATTACCGATGAACTACTCGCGGACTGCAACATACATATATTCATCCATATTCCCTTTCGTTCAATAGAATAAAACCATCCCTATACCATGAGTGCTCCTCGAGAGATTACCATCGAATCCCTCAACGGCCATTGGGTCCTGGTAATTAACTAGATACTTTATATCCCCCTTCGAAATACTAGATCCTAACCATATATCACCGTCTACAGAACAAAGACTTAACCAGCGAGGCAGACCCTATCCTAAAACTGGTTCGAAAGAACTCCACCATTTCCATTATCCAGCAAGCTAATCATCTCATAACAATCCACAGCAAAAAATACCCTGGTTGTTCCGCAAAGCATTCAACCTCGCAACAATATCCATCCACATCACCCAGTACCAAACACAAACCTCAGAAACAAGCCAACCATCAACAAACATCAACTTCAACCAAACACCCACCGCCGGCCTGGCCGCAACCAAAGAAGAGCGCGTCTTGGATTGGAAGATATCAGACCACGAAGACTACTTCTTCGGCAAGATCCAAGGACAGAGTGAATTCGTACACGGTGTCATTGATGCGGATGGAATTGTAAGGCCTGGGTTTGAGCTTCAGACGGATAATGCCAATGCCGAGATAAAGAAATACTTGCGAGGGGAGATTGAGGCGGATGGGAACAAATCGGAGGGTTTTATAGTTGAGGATTGGAGTGGGATGTCGGAGGGTGCTGGGCTTTGGGTTCATACTTTTGAGAGAAATGTTAAGGCTGGATGGACAGCTGAGCAGGTGAGTATTGAGATTTATTGTTTATTAATTTGTTATTAGGCTGTATCAGAAACTGATTTGGGCTATTAGATTTGGGGGTTTGAGATGTTCGGGGGCTCGCGGTACTTCTCTCGTCGAGGGGTGGTCATGACTACAAAGGGACAATATATATGTGGGAGGATTGTGTTTGATTTTATAGACAGTCAAAGTCAATAGTTTTCGAGGATCATGAGGGAATTAGTAAATCTATCATTCTAACTATCTATCAATCATATACTCTATGAATCTATACTCTATAATTCTATAACTCTGTAACTCTATATAACGCAAAGGGATAACCAATTCTTCACACATAGATGCTCTAGTTCGCATAAATCTTCACCATAGACTATGAGAACCATTAGTAAAACGCACATCAAGGAGATAGAACAAAGGAATCACTCACATCTGCAAATTTAGGCTCAATAAACAAAGCTTTGGCCTCAGCAACCATTACTGCACCTTCACTATCCTCTTGTAACAGACCACTGGCATCAGAAACGACACTCGAGTCCGCAGAAAGTGGCAAAGCCAAAGGAAGACAAGTCATCCGACCCTCAACCCAAGCCTTCCTACCCTCAACCTTAACCGTTTTCGTGCGCAGCACATACATCCGGTCGGGAAGAGCGGGTTTCCGGAAATCCACATTAAGATTAGCCGTCATACCCAGCCCGGTGGGAAGAACGGCAGAGGCACAGCGCGCAAACACCTCGTCAAAGAGAACAGTAAGCAGACCACCATGGACAAAGCCCGGGTGACCGCAGAGATCCTGACCGATGTGGAATACCGATACAACACTGCTGGCTCGGTCGGCATTCTCGGTCTGCCCTTCGGTTTTGTCGGTCGATAGCCACATGTATGGTGCGAAGGCAAGCTTGCCTGGACCAGCTAAGCTGCCACCCACGAAGTGGTGCTGTCTGATCGGTGGTGGGATTGCGAGATGGGGACGGGTTTCCTTGTAGGTGCTGTGTGTTTCGCGGAGGGTTTGGACGAGAGGGATTTGGGAAACAATAGTGTCCAGGGTTGTAGATCCATGGTGTGGTGATTGAGTCACGGGTGTTGATTGTGACTGGGTCTGAGAGAGGAACTGGGGTGCTTCTGTTTGGCTAGGGAGGGCTTGGTTGTGAACCACTGCCGACCGTGTTGGACCTTGTTGATGAAGACGCGCGATAGGCGATGCGGACGAGTATATTCTGAATGTTGAAAGGTTTTGCGATCGGAAAAGCCGACGTGCTGTTTGTGAAATGGTTGACATTCTAGAAGTATGTTTGAAGCCAATATTGGTTCTAGTTCATGCACGTTAGAGGGGCTTGCTTGATTGCCGACCGGGTACTCCGTACATACAAGCTTAGATTAGGATCTTGTTGACTTTGTCGATCGCCTTCGTACTGTTGCTGGTTTGGACTTGATATGGGAAGTATACCACACTTCGACTTTTGCAATGACGATGAATGTAAGAAGATTGTCCGGCGATTTAAACAAGAGACCCGCCACTATCTGGATTAGTCTTGTTTCTGCTTTTTTTTAAAGCCGATTTTTCTTCTGCTGGACCCAGCAGTGGGGCTCAAGGCCTTGGAACAGCCGATGATCGGACCGGGATGCCAAGACATATAGTTCGGGATGCCGAGAACTATAAGATACCGTAGATATCAATAACTTCATATTTCAACATTCTTCAACGGAGAGCGGAAGAGCTGAGGAGGTGATGAGCCGCCTAGCTGAGGATCACATGTCGTAGTATAACGTATTAGTATAGTAGGATGGTCTTGAACGGGGGTCCTGAACAGGGGTCCTTCCGGAAGTGACCATGCAGCGCGCGTGGACTGTTGCGTTCTCGTGGGAAAAGAAACAACTCTCAGTCTCGTCTTCTCCCCTTGTCGTTCTCACTCATAACATCTTTGCCATCCAGTTTGAGCATCATCTGTTCTCTCTTATTAGCTTCATATCAAGTTCTTTTTCATCGTATCTTTCAAGATGCCGGTTGAGCACAATCTCTATCCTTCTTCTGACGAGGAGTCTGCCTCTGAGACTTCCACCAGCCCTCGTCCTGGCGCACCCAATACCTCCCAGCCTGCCAACAACCCATTCGGGTCTGGTATGGCTAGCAGCACCCAGGCCCAGGTTGTTCACAACCCGTTCGGTTCTGGCACCACCCAGACCATCGCCAACCCATTGGGCTCTGGCCTGAACAACCCTTTTGGTCCTGGCGCTGGGAACAACCCCCAGCCCGTCACCAACCTGTTCGGTTCTGGTTTGGCCAATGGCAACCACACGGTTGTGAACCCTTTCGGTCGTGGCACGGGCAACAACCCCCAGACTATCAACAACCCGTTCCATTCTGGTTTGGCCAATGGCACCCAGACGGTTGTGAATCCTTTCGGTCGTGGCGCAGGGAACAACTCACAGCCCGTCAACAACCCGTTCCGTTCTGGTTTGGCCAATGGCACCCAGACGGTTGTGAACCCTTTCGGTCGTGGCGCGGGCAACAACCCCCAACCCATCAACAACCCGCTCCGTTCTGGTTTGGCCAATGGCAACCAGACGGCTGTGAACCCTTTCGGTCATGGCAACCCCCAACCCATCAACAACCCGCTCCGTTCTGGTTTGGCCAATGGCACCCAGACGGTTGTGAACCCTTTCGGTCCTGGCGCGGGGAACAACCCCCAGACCGTCACCAACCCTTTCCGCTCTGCCATGGCCAATACCACCCAGACCGTTGTGAACCCATTCGGTTCTGGTGCGGGCACAATCCCGCAGGCCGTCAACAACCCGTTCCGTCAGGGCTTGGCCAATCCCCTCTGACCATTAATCCTTTTGCTTCTGGCCTGGCCAATGGCACCCAGAGCAACAACCCTTTCCGTGCCGCCGCCAACGTCGACGCCCCGCTGACCCCCAATGGGGGATTGACCAATGGCCACAGCCACGGCCACGGCCACGAATGGCGGGCTCCCCACCCATCCGACTTCAACCCCCTCTACCGCCCACCCGAGGACGAGACCGACGGGGAGGGGGATGAAGAGGATGAGGATGGGGAGGAAGACGAAGACGAAGACCTCGATGAAGACGAGGAGGAAGACGAGGTCCCCAATGGACCCGTGTCGGCCCTGGAGGCCGCGTTGGACGCCATCTTGGCGGATGGCAATGAGGAAGAGGAGGAGGAGGGTGGCGCCGACGCCTCCAGCGACGGCGACGAGGACGCCGCCTACCCGGACGAGGGCCTCGTTGGACGCGGAGTGCAACGGGCAGGAGGATGGCGCTGACGACTCCAGTGACGGCGATGAGGACGCCTACCTGGACGAGGCGTAGGCAATGAAATGCTCACTTGAAAGCAAGGTATGTATCACATTCAATTCTCTTTTCTCCTGGGCTTCAGTCAGTTTCACTTCGTTCTGCTCTCGCTCCGGACTCACATCGGCTTCATTGCTAACTCACTTTCTTGTCACTAGGTGCCGGTGAGGAGAGTGATCGGCTTCCTCATCGGCTTCCTCAGCCTTGCGGTGCCCCACCATGGCTGACCTTAAGCATGGTGGGGCACAAATACTATCATCATAGGGAGGGAGAAGGGGGAGGAGGGAGGGGAGTGGGGGGAATGCTTGTTTGAGTCGGCCTTGCGGTCGACGATGTATGATTTGGAGCGGCAGGGCCGTTTACTGTTTGATTGCGGGCTGGAGGGGGGGCAATGTACTGAGTTCACTCAGTATAGTTGTCATGCCAGGGGGAGGTACTCCTGCCGGGGCCCCCGTTGTGTTGAGTATCTTTGTCTTTTTGTGTTCAGAATGTTTGTTTCTGGGTTGAGATGATCAGTGATGAATATCATTTTCATTTCAACTCCCCCAGTTGACACCCTTTACAGTGGATAACTGTTGAAAAGCATGAAGCTGTTCAAGAGCAAAGAAGAGTTGGCATCGTTGGACGTGCGTGCACACGCTCGTAATACGACCATACGACAATACGATACAATCCGCCGCGCGACTTCAATACGAACTTTTGGACTTTTGGAAGTGCCCGGAATACACGCTCATTCGAATTATATACACCCGAGAGACCTAGCCCAAAGGTTCTTGATATGCGCAAATGACAGTTGGCTTCAGCGGGTCCAGCTTCGATGAACTAACTCACAGCAAGCAGATCAGGACAGAAATACGGGCTCTATGCTACTTTTACTCGACTAGGGGTGAATGATCGGCGTCTCGCGTACCCAAGAGCTTTACATATATACAGGGACCGTTATATATAAGATCCGACAAGGAGCGGGCTTTGATGCTGGCTACAGTATAACCCTGACGAAGTCCGAGCCATATTGTATCCAATTTACAATATTGGTTGTGTTGTGAAAAAGCAGAATATATTGAACGGATCGATTGCAAAAGGCCATCGATGCATTTGATACTGACAGCACGGTTTCTAGAACAGGGTTCCATCGCCGAAGTTCAAAATAGGGCTGCACTTTGTCTCTGGACGTTTAGCTGCTGCAAGCTCCCGACCCGCTTTCCAAGAGCCTGCCTCTAACACCTGAGGTAGAGACAATTGTATGCCATCCAAGCGCGCGAGGATCTTCTTATGAAGCACATCAAGGAGAGCAACAGTCATCGCTCGCCATTCCACAATCTCGTCATCGCCCGCACCGAACGAAGGCAAGCTACCACCGGAAAGACTCAACCCTCGCTGCAGTGACTCGGCCTTCAATTCTAGAACTCCCATGTCAACAAGCATTCCTCCGTTGCGATACTCTGGCAAACCAGTCCCCAGCTCGGTATTGGACCATGAGACAGAGAGCAGACGAGAGAACGGCACCATCAATGAGTACGCTAACCATTGTGTTAGCTTATGGAACGGTTGAATGTTGGAGTATGGTTTCGACTCCGATCCGGGCTGCTGGGAAAGTGTCCGCAGGGGCCATGCATCACCGATGGGCTGTCCATTAATGTGAGTACGATCAGACGGCCAGATAGGGAGCAGGAGGCGCTGTAGCACGTTCCAGAGATCCTTGTAATCGAGCTTTCCGCTACCATTTGACTTGGCAATAAGGTAATCTGGATATTTTTAGATCTGTTTAGTCATTTTGATCAAAACGTCCAGTACTGAACTTACCAACAAGATTGCCAGGACGGCCAGTGGGGCCAAAGATATCTTTCAAGTTTACCAGAGACTCGCCGAGTTTACGGAGGATATCTGCACGTGCAGGTACCCCGACCATGGGATTGGCATCGTCGACCTGGAGTCCACGGGATAGGATGTCTACGTTGATATTTCGCAATGCATCGCCTAGTCCGAGTTAGCCAATATCACATCGAATCCATGAGCAAACGCTTACCATTGGCGGTGTGTTTCACTGACGAATCCTTGCCAGCGAAGTCACCGTTTAGGAACATATGCAGGGCCGCCACCGCAATACCTTCGCTTCGATTGAGTGTCAGACCGGTTTGTGACTCATTGAATTTCCAAAAGTCTCCGGCACCAGCATCCAAAAGGACAGAGACGAAGAAAAGATCAATCAATCTGCGAGTCTTTTCGGTGGTATCACATTTCTCCTCATCCCATTGAGCTAGGAGAGTGGTTATGCGGGGAACCCCGCCGACTTCGAAATGCTGCCAGCGTCCATGGGGCGGAATTAGATGATACTTGTCAGGGCCAAAGTCGCGCTAATATAGATAGTGAGCTTCTTTACGTTTAAAACTTTAAGTGTTCGCTCTGGGAATGTGCTAGCCCTACCTGGATCAGTTTAAGTACATAGTCCGTGGCATCTTCCATGCGTTCGGGGTGGTAATTGAAATGATTCAGACGACCCTCTTCAGCTAGTTTGAGGACTGTATGAGCTCTTGTGCGGACGGCTTCTAGGCCTAATAGTTCTTCAATTTGGGGATCCATGTTGATTGAGCGAATGGTTGAGGTGAGTCTGGAGGGCTTCAGGAGGTCAAGAAAAGGGCGTTTTATTACTCGGAGCTAGGAAGGCGGGGGAAGATATGCACTTATGTAAATAGCTGCATATACGCCGAGAGAACTAGTTACCATTAGGCAAAGTGTCTTGGATGACATGGACTATCCTGTTCAGGTGTTTGGGGTATTCTTTGTCACTGATATGTTATCTGTCTGATATCGGAGAAGTCCGATAACTAATGTTGGGCTCTACACGTTGGACAGATTTGCGGGTTAAGAACATATGCAAAGTGGTTTTGGTATAAACTAATAGCGACACTAAGACTTCTTTTACAAACCAAATGCTTCAGTAAATTCAAAATTAGAAAGTCAGAGGGTCAAGGTGGCCCAGGAAGGCATCGTTGCCCTCACCACGAAGAAGAGCATCAATGTCAATGCGACCGGCCGTAAGATACTTCTCACTGACACCGATGTTCACTCGCTGGGCAAGGTGTTGCTTGAGCTCCGCACGAAGTCCGGCCATTTCGCTCTTGGTCGTTTCGCTAGCCTCCTTGTCACGTCTTTCGCGGCCACCACCACGACCACGGCCTCTACCCTTGGACTGATCGAACTCGTCACTGTCATACTCAACACCGAGATCATCAGCCGCAGCGCGGAGCCAGTTGTCCTCGGTGTTGACCTTCTCCTTGGCGATAGTGGAGTCGGTAATTCGCTTGGCGAGAGTCATGCGGGGGCGGAGGCGAGAAACCACTCGGCGATCAATGTCGAGAGACTCGAGAGGAACCTTCTTGCTAGGTCCGTCAGCGCCATCGGCCTTCTTCGCCTTCTTGGCATGGATCTTGCCAGCCAGACGGGCAACACCGACAACCTCGTCAGGAGCACAGATGAGGATACTCTTTCCGGACTCACCGGCACGAGCAGTACGACCGGATCGGTGGACGTAGGCATCTGCTGTGCGGGGAACGTGGTAGTGGATGACGCAGTTAATGCCCTTGATATCCAAACCACGAGCGGCGACGTCGGTGGCGACAAGGATTGAGCTTGGGTTGGCAGTAGGGGACGAGAAACGTTCGATGGAACGGAGTCGGGCTTTCTGGGCCATGTTTGAGTGGAGTGCGAACACAGGAAGTTGAAGAGCCTGCAAAAGCTGAGTGATGCGGCGGACGGCGGAAATGGAGTTTGTGAATACAAGTGTGCGGTTCTTAGGATAGTAGAGAAGAACTGAGTAGAGGTAGAGGTCCTGGTCATTTGAATTAGCATTGGTATTCGGGAGGTTCAAAAAAGAAAGTGTCTTACCTTTTCCATAGCAGGGCATTCGACGATTCCTTCCTTGAGTCCGACGGCCATCTGCGACTCTGGGTTCACATCGATGAACTTTGGCTTCTCTTCACGGAAATTCAATTTCTTGAGAAGGTACTCCATCGACGCTTTGTTGTCCAACATATCATCACCAGACCAGCGGCTTTTGCCTGCTAGCTTTTGTTGGAGATCCTTGTGGAATGTGGCCGAGAAGACAAGAGTCTGCCTGTGGGATGACACCTCCTCTTCTTCTTCCTGGTCCGCGTCTGCAATATCCCCGGCTTGATGTTTGTCTAGTGCAGTAAGGATATCCTCCAACTCCTTGAAATGACCTTCACTCAGCAGTCTGTCCGCTTCGTCGACGACCAGGAACTGGATTTTCTGCATTTTGCGGATCAGACCCGTTCCTGTGCTTAGAATCTCCCACACTCGACCGGGAGTTCCAACGACAATATCCGCTGTGGCTAGTTGTCTCTGCTGCTTCTGAATAGACATACCACCGGTGATAAGGGCGATGCGTGCGTTTGTATCTGGGGAATTGGCAATGAGCTCTCCGATATGCTTTCCAAGCTGATGCGCCAGCTCTCGAGTGGGAGATAGGATCAATGCAATCGGCGTTTTGTTCTTTTCAGACTCGTCGGACTGCTCTCCCTGTTTCCCTCGCTTGTCCAAGTAATGTTCGATAATGGGAATACCGAATGCCAACGTTTTACCGGAACCTGTTGAGGCCTTTCCAACAACATCGTGCCCATCGAGAATAGCGGGAATACTGGCTTTCTGAATGGCCGATGGGGAGGTAAACTTCATTTTGGAAATAGCCGTAAATGTCTCGGGAGAAAGATTAAGCCCATCCCAAGCCGACACGTCCACACCGTCGTCCTCTTCGACATCATCGAGAGCCGCAAAAGAGAGTCCGGCCTTGATGTTCTGGTTCTGAGCAGGTTTGGATTCCTTGGGCTTTTGATCCTTGGGTTTTTGCTCCTTGGGTTTTTGCTCCTTGGGTTTTTGCTCCTTGGAGTTTTGCTCTGCTTTCTTCGCTTTATTTTGCTCCTTCTTCTTGTCCTTCTTGGACTTCTTATCTTCCTTCACTTCGGTTGCAGCGGGCGTCTTCTCGGTGGCAGGGGACTTTTTGGATGAGTCTTCGTCGCTAAAACCACCCCATTCCTCCCCATCATCTTTAGACGGGGATTTGATAATCGATTGCGTTGGCTTGCCAGACTTGGCCTACCCATCCAACCATATATATATTAGCATTTAGTCCACATGATTGATCAAAGCATGCAGCCTCATACCTTGAAATGAACTCCTCCGTCGGTCTCTTTTATGATATCAACACCTTCAATCTCTTCCAGTCCGAAGAAACCCTCTGCATCCTCCATTCGATCTGGCATAGCAACTTCCTTCCAATTGAGATCCTCAACTCCGACAGACACATGATTGTCGCTTGAAGCTGCGTCAGACTTGACGGCCTTCTTGCGCTTGTTTGCCTCAGCCACCTGGGCTTTGGGGTCGCGTGCTCGCTTTTGACCCATTATGAACTGGGTAATTCTTGAGTATTACAGTGTGTTCCGGTAGGCAAGTGATCCAAGTACGCCGTCGGGGAAGATTCGCAAAGAAAAAAAGCGGCAGAAATTTTAGTCCGCCTTTGGAATCTTATCTTTTCGTTCCCCACGTTCGCCGCAAAATTAACCCACTTTGACAAACTAGGACTGCCAATTGCGCCTGAGCAGCCTGTTTTCAAGATGGGCAAATCATCCAAGGACAAGCGCGATGCTTATTACCGTCTTGCCAAGGAGCAAAATTGGCGCGCCCGTTCCGCCTTCAAACTTATCCAGATTGACGAGCGATTCGACCTATTCGAGCACGAGAACCCGGACAATGTGACGAGAGTTGTGGATTTGTGCGCTGCACCTGGAAGTTGGAGTCAAGTACTCAGCCGTGTCTTGATCAAAGGCGAAAGCTTCGGGCGGCGGGCATGGCTCGAGAAAAAGCGGATTGAACAGCAGGGATTGGAGGCAGCGGAGACAACGACGACCGACGGTGATAGAATGGACTGCGATGAGTCCTCCCCAAGCTCCGAATTAAAGCCCCGGAAGAATGTCAAGATCGTATCCATCGATCTACAACCCATGGCACCGCTAGAAGGTATCACAACCCTTAAAGCTGATATCACACACCCCTCTACGATCCCTCTCCTCCTGCGCGCACTGGACCCAGAAGCATACGAACAACCACCCATCCCCTCCGACGCTCCATCATCAGTCACAGCAGCTATCAGACAACCTCACCCCGTCGATCTTGTTATCTCCGACGGTGCCCCAGATGTAACAGGCCTGCATGACCTAGACATTTATATTCAATCACAACTCCTCTACGCAGCCTTAAACCTTGCTATGGGAGTTCTAAGACCTGGCGGCAAGTTCGTCGCCAAGATCTTCCGCGGCCGCGATGTCGACATTCTCTACGCGCAACTGCGGACTGTCTTTGAGCGTGTCAGCGTCGCGAAGCCGCGCAGTAGTCGTGCTAGTTCCTTGGAGGCATTCGTGGTCTGCGAAGGCTTCATTCCACCTGTTAGTGACAGCGGGGTGGTCGGTATGGCCGCATTGAAAAATCCACTCTTCGGCGGTGCCGCAGCTCCAGTGTCCGTGTCAGAAGATGGCAATGTGGGCAAGGAAGTCCGCGAGGAAATCGACGAGGACACACAGGCCCGAAATACCGTGGCGCAACCCGCCGCAATTAGCAGCCCTGCGCCCAATCACTTCACTGAAGTCCGCCACCTTCAGACCACAACATCACAAGACCAACCCCAACCCCAACCTCAGAAACTGTCCAACAAGTTCGCTGTTGAGAATCGGTGGATTCCGGCTTTTATTGCTTGTGGTGATCTTTCTGCTTGGGATTCCGATGCGACATACACCCTACCTCCGGATTATGTTAATCTGGATCCTATTCAGCCACCCACTGCACCACCGTATCGTCGGGCATTGGAGTTGAGGAAGGAAATGGGTGGTGCATATGGAAAGACAAAGTATGGGCACAAATAGATGGCTCGCGTTAGAGTGTTACGTTACATGAGTTTCAAGAAAAAGTTGTATGTATACATAGACGACCTAGACACGACATAGCATTTTCGAGGGTCATGCTAGGAAGGCATTGCCTTCGAAGCAGATACCCAAATACATTCCATTGAATTATATATATATTTTACCATCAAGAAATCTAAATTTAGGAGATATATGAGTGAGGATCGTGAAATTCTAAATGCATTTTTGAAGTCTCTCAAGGCTAGTTGTACTAGCCCAAATCAGGATCTAAATACAAGGGGGAATAAAAAGCAAAAATATGCCAATCGTACAATCATGCCATGCGAAAACCAAGAAAAAGAAAAATCTAGTAGACCTCCAAAACGTAGCGCTCCTCGTCCTTCAGCTTCTCAATCTCCTTGCGAGTTTCAACCTTCTTGCCGTTGTTCTTGGCTTCTGTGGCAATAGCCTCCTCCAGAACAGCGGTGACATCGGGCACGGGCCAAGTGGGACCGCACAGGTAGAAAGCACCCTCCTCACGAATGTAAGCCTGGATGATCTCGGGCAGGGTCTGGCGCATACGGTCCTGGATGTAAATCTTCTCAGGCTGATCACGAGAGAAAGCAGCGCCGAGGAGAGTGATAACACCAGCCTCCTGGTATGCCTCCCATTCCTCGCCGTAGCAGTACTCCTCGCGCTGGTGACGGGAGCCCATGTACAGCAAGACAGCGCCGATCTCCTTGCCCTGAGCCTTCTCGAGGGCCCGGTGCTGGACGAAGGCACGGAATGGTGCGAGACCGGTACCAAGACCGGCCATGATAAGAGGCTGGGTGGACTTGGGGGGCAGCTTCATGACACTGGACTTGACGCTGACGGTGATGGGGGAACCGGCTTGCAGGCGGCTCAGGTAGCGGGTGGCCAGACCGAAACGGTCGCGGCCGTTGGGGTCGACCCAGTTCACGGCGACGATCATCAGGGCGACCGAGGTAGGGGTCACCTTCTGGCAAGAGGCGATCGAGTACTCACGGCGCTTGAGGGGACCGATGATACGGACGATGTCGTGGAAGTCGGGGTGAGCGGAGGGGTATTCGAGCAGGATGTCGGCGAAGGTGACGGTGTCAACCTCGGCACGACGCTTGAACTCGGTGGCACCGTCGGGACCACCCAGGACGAGCAAGTTAGCCTTCTCCTTCTCGTCGGAGGCAAACTCAGCAAGGGCCTCGTAGAAGCGCTTGGGAGGGCGACCGAAGAGGTCGACGTTCTGGACCAGAGCCTGGTAGACAGTGCGGTTCTCCAAAACGGCAGGGTCCTCGCGGCTGGGAACCTCGACAATGGCGTCGGCGTCCAAGCCGTAGAACTCGATGAACTTCTTGATGTCCTCAGGGTCGTTCTCGGCGTGGATACCGAGGGCCTCGCCAATGTCGTACTTCAGGCCAGTCTCACCGAGGTCGAACTCGATGTGGAAGATGTTACGATCATAGGTGGTAGGGGTGAGACGTCGGTTCTCCTTGACGTGGACAGTGAAAGTCTTGTGAGCAAGGTCAGGGCGAAGGGCATCTCTGGTACCATAAGCCTCCTTGAACGCAAGGCCACGGGCGGCAGTCTCCCAGTCCTTGAGAAGAGTGGGGGGCTCAGACTCGTCCTTGTCGAAGGAAACAAAGCTGTTGGCGATGATGTCCCTGGGGAGTTGAACGGCCTCGCTGACGCCCTCGGGCTCCTTCCAGGACTCGGGAACCTCGATCTGGCGGAGCAGCTTCTCGAGATCCTTGGTAACATTGTCCAGGGCCTCGGCATTGCCGGTGATCGCGGAAAGCTTCTTGGTTGCCACAGCTTCCTGGGCAGGCAGAGCGACACGCACGAACGAAGCCTGAAGGACAAGGGCGCTCAGAGACGAGTCCTCAATAGCAGATGGGTCAACAATGAAGACGGAGATGCCACGTAGGGCGACAGCCTGCTTGAAGGCAGCAGGAAGCTTCTTCTCCAAATCCTCATCCTTGATACCTGGGGCATTCACAATGACCTTGGCGTTGTCCTTGACAGAGGCCAGGACGTCAACATCGTTAAGCAGCGAGATGCTTCCAACGTAAGAGACCTCAGCAGCAGTGACCGAGTAAGGTGCGTCAACAATCTTAGCGCTCTTGCGGATGTCAACGCGGATGGCACCACCCTGGACGAGGTTGTCGTGAGTCTGGCTGAGGGTGACGTTGCTGGCCGAGTCGGCACCAAGAGCCTGGCTCAAAGTCTGAGCGGCAGTCTCGGTAACGGAGGTGTCAACATCCCAGAAAGTGTATTCCTGCACGGAAGCAGGGTCCAGCAACTGCAGGGAAGCGTTGGTTTCACCGTCGACGGTGAGAATAGGCTGGTCGTACACGCGCTGGAATGCAGCAGCGGTGGAAATGAGATCCCAACGCTGGGAGCGGGGGTACTTGATCTCAACACAAGCCGGGTTGTGTTCACGGCCAGTGGCGAAAGTCAAAGAAGCAAGAACATCCTCATAGAGAGCGGAGTGGACACCCTCTTCCTGGACAGCCTGCTCAGAGGCGACTTGTCCGAGAACGGCGACAGTCTTGGTGGACTGGGGAAGAACGCGCAGGAACTCCTCCTCGATGAAGGGGCGGTAGACGCGGACATTCACAACACCGACACGAACACCATCCTTGGCGAGAGAGCGTGCGATCTGGGCAGTAAGAGTGGCCTCAACAGTGCCGAAGGCAATCAGGACAGAGGTGGGCTCAGAGTGACCGTGGTACTCGAAAGCACCATAGTCGGTTCCGAGCTCGCCGTTCATGGTCTTCAGAAGATCCAGAACCTTGCCTTGGGCATCCAGGTGACGGTTGCGGGACTCGTCGAGAGACTTGCGGATGGTCTCATAGGTGCGAGTCAGACCATCCTTGTCGAGAACATCAATGACGCGGGTGGTATCACGACCGACACGAACGCCATCATAAATGTGGATCGAGGGGAGGATCGAGGAGAGCAACGTGGTGAAGAGAGCCATGTGCTGAGACTCGTGGGCGGAACCACTGGAAACTAAACCAAGACCGAGGTCCTCAGCCAGAGAGAGGGCGGAGGCATAGTCGGAGACAAGGCCATCCTCACCGGCGTAGTCTACGGCGGCAACGTGTGCAGCAACTGGGCTAGCGACGGAGTAGAGCAGAGAGAGTTGCTCCAATGCGGCGCGCATATAAGGGAGGGTTGCTGAAGAAGCAACAATACCCTGAGGGATGTGGCGCTTCTTGAGATCAAAGTCCTGAGAGAAGAGGTAGCCAAGGGCCATGTTGCCGGCACCCTGGCGGGTTTCCAGAGCCTTGACAGAGGGAGACTCGCCATTGGCATTAGTCTCACCATTGGAGGTCCATTCCTTAAGAGCAACATCAAGATCGAAAGTCTCCGGCGAGTAGGAGAAGATCTTATCACTCAACAAGTATGCAACTTGCTGGATAAGCGTCTGGGCGGTAATATAGGTCGGGCCATTCAAGGCCGACAGGGTTGGAACTGATGAACCCATGACTTCTTCTTGATACCGGATATAAAACCGATATCTGTTAAAAGATCAAAAACAAAGAAGAAGGTGGGGGAGAAAGAGAATCTCCCCTCTTCATGGCTTGGTTATAGAGAAAAACCCCAGGTAACTTTCCCAAAGCGGTTAGTGGAAATTGCGTGCTTGTTATCGGGCGATAAGATTTTTCAAATAGTGGCGGGTCCCGTCCGCTGTCGGAGCATTACTCAGCCGTGCCTGAAGCCTAAGATTATGTCATACAATTTATGCCTTAGGTACCAATGAAAGCCACGTGATGTACACGCTTGGCAGCTTGGCACACTTGTGCGCAGCATGCATCTGCACAAATTACCGCACCGAGCCTCGGTCGCCCACTTTACCCCAAAATGCGGAGAACCCATTCCATCCCTAGACTAACAATCTTGATACATAAACACCCTTAGGATCCAACGTATAGTCCCGCATAAGTTTTCTAATAGTATATATCTTTATCGACTCTTCCATTATGGCGTACAACTCTCCAAATCCCATCCCGTTCTCAGAGCCACCTTATCTTCGTGGCCTCCCTTCTCCCTACATCACACCTGCCCACCGCCGCTTCCAACGAGCATGTCGTAAATTTGCAACGGAGAATTTGATTCAACATGCGTTGGAGTGGGAGCGCGAAGGAACAGTCCCCGAGCATGTATTCCACACGTTCTGCAAGCATAATATGCTGTTGCCCAACATGCCGGCCCCATTACCTGTGGATTGGCTGAAGCGCCTGGGAATCAACGATATTCTGGGTGTCAAGGTTGAAGACTGGGACTACATCTATACTGGCATTTACTGTGATGAGGTATGCTAAGAAAATTATCTGACTGTGCTTCTCAATTGCAGGATAATTGACCGATGGCTTGCAATAGATCGCCCGTTCTGGTCTTAGTGGCCCCGGTGCATCTCTGACCGCCGGGTTCGCTTTTGGAATTGCGCCAATCTACAAATTTGGTAGTGCTGAGTTACAAGAACGGTTCCTGCCCGACTTGCTTACGGGTAAGAAGCGAGGCTGTATTGCCATCACGGAGCCTGAGGCCGGTAGTGATGTCGCGAATATCACCACAACTGCCGTCAAGAGTGCCGATGGTCAGCACTACATTATAAATGGATCTAAGAAATGGTAAGAGGCAACTCTGCAGAACTGATAAAGCTGTGAGCTGATACCAATCACCAGGATCACGAATGGTATCTGGTCGGACTATACCACCATGGCCGTGCGAACAGGTGGACCAGGAGCCTCAGGTCTTTCTGTTTTGGTTGTGCCTCTGAAGGGCCACCCCGGTGTTACAATGCGCCGACTGAAAGTCTCAGGCCAGATCACAGGTGGGACCACATACATTGAGCTCGACGATGTCAAGGTTCCTGTGTCGAACATCATTGGCAAAGAAGGCGACGGCATGCGTATTATCATGACTAACTTCAACCACGAGCGACTTGTTATTGCAGTTGGAGTCACTCGTCAAGCTCGGGTGGCCCTTTCCGCCGCTTTCTCGTACTGTCTTAAGCGCGAGGCTTTCGGAAAGACGCTCATGGACCAACCCGTGGTCCGCCATCGGTTAGCTAAGGCAGGCGCTGAGCTTGAATCTATGTGGGCGTGGGTTGAGCAAATATTGTACCAACTGGTCCATCTCAGCAAAGAGGAAGGTGATCGTCAACTTGGTGGCCTAACGGCATTGGCTAAAGCGAAGTCCGCTATGGTTCTGAACGAGTGTGCTCAAACAGCGGTGTTGTTGTTTGGAGGAAGTGGATTTACCAAAACTGGTCAGGGTGAATTGGTCGAAGGTATGTTCGCTGGATTCCCATTGTGTTTGGAACAAGCTAACCACGCCTCTAGCTATTCTTCGCGATGTTCCTGGTGCCCGTATTCCGGGTGGCTCAGAAGACGTGCTCCTCGATCTGTCTGTGCGTCAATTGGTCAAGCTCTATCAAGCCGAAGAGAAGAAGCTCTCACAGAATTCCAAGATTTGATTTGGCTATGACCAAAACCTTTGGATCTTTAGGTATCACTTATCCGGATTTTCGGTTAATTTACTCGAATTTCCATTCATGTCAATACACAGTATAATATTCCCTTCTATCAGGGTTTTTGTTAATGCAACTGAACATAACCATGTCAAACTTAAAAGGCTCAGCAGTTTTAGGGCTGGGACTCTCCGCTAGTGGATTACCATATCTAGCAGCGCGTCCGAATGAGAGTCAACATTCGCACTCGTCTTGGTCCAGGCATCATATGGTACTCCATTGAATCTTGGGTCAACTATAGTCATAAAAGCTTGTGCGGCGTTATGGCCTTTGCATTTGAAAGCTAGATTGTCTTCTTTGCTGATATTTGGAGCAATTCTGCCATAATCTAATAGCAACCAGCAATTATCCCTTTCCTTCCCAACAAGATGGGGGATTGATCTCCAAGGACACCGTGTAAGACCAGACTTCCATCCCCGTGCACAATCCCTCGGGGATAATACCCAGGTGGGCCGGCTTCAGTTCGAGTCTTGAAAGGAATAGGCACAATTTTCTCGTAAGCTTCGTGGGCTTCATGATCCTCTCGTGCCTATTTTGCGGCATTTATCCGGGGCGATCTTCTTATGGGCTTCGTGGACTCCGTCGGCCCGCTATCTTTCAGGGCCAGGTATGACTTCTTTCGGGGGGCCTTCCTTGGAATCCTATTTCCCATCAAATCTTTCAGTATGGGGTATTCCTGTGCCGCAGGTAAGTCCAGTGGGCATCCCCATTCGATGATTTGATCTGCACAGGCCCCGTGCTCCAAGAGTAGCTCTATGATGATAGTATTGATCACATATTGCCGTGAGCCTATCTTTTGCTTATTCCGCCGTATTCGCAGAAGATTCCAAATAATTTCGTCTCCGCTTTTTCCACGACAGCGAGTTTTAGTCCCTGGTTTCAAGAGATGTTCGAAGATGCCCGGATTCTCAAATATGATACCTAGTGGCGTCTCTCCGTATTGGTTCTTTAGGTTAACATTGGTACCAGACCGTAAGAGTAATCGTACAAACTCTTTTTGGGCTTTCATATCTCCCAAGAATGCGTTATCGGAGAAGGCAACATGAAGGGGAGTATTTCCTTCCAAATCTTGTGCGCTTAAATCAGCACCATAATTAAGAAACAAACCGAACAATTTCTCTAGCGATTTCCGTGACCTCTTGGGAATCCTGTGCAGGGCACTAGCCAAGGTGCCATCGCACTCGAAATGAAGATCTGCCCCGTGAGCCAGCAGCAGTTGCATCACAGCGACAACCTCATCCTCTGGTTCGAGCTTTGACGAATCACTACACATTGCCTCCCTACATGAGTATGGGAAATATTTTTGGGATGGGGTGCCAAATTCAAGAGCTCTTCCAAGAGGAGACACACGGCGCACTACGCCCCCAAGGTCTACATGGGCGCCATGTTGGAGGAGTAAACATGTCATGTCGTAGTATCCCAGAGCCGCAGCATATCCCAAGGGAGATATATTTGTTTCGAGATTGACGTGAGCTCCATTGCGCAGAAGGAGCTCCACCATATTCACATGACCCGATCCGATGGCAATGAGTAAGGGTGTGTTGATGGAGGCGATCCAGCTGAACATGAAAGTGTTCAAGTCTAGGTTGCTGCGCCATATTAGGTGCTGGGTCCCTCGTTCAAATCCCCTTTCTAACAGCCATGACAGCGTACTAAATGCAGTACGTCTTCTTTGCTTGTAAAGGACATTGATCACGGTATCATGAAGCACACGATTGCATCGCAGAAGTGAGAGTCTATGTCTGTCGGATGGCAGGTATGATGCAACAAGACAGATTACCTCGAAGGGCAAAGAGTCCAAAGACATCTTGAAATAAAATTGGAACTATGTCTACATGGGTCAATGAAGGGTAATCTTAGTACATAAGTAGGTTGAGGAGGTAGATGTAATGATCATCAATTCAGTTAACCCATGTTTAGCTCTAAAGTTTCCTGAACCTACCTACACATAGGTACTACTACGTACATATAATTTACCGTTTATTAACCGTTTCTTGGTATGCGTTTGGTGCCCTGTGATGTTTGACCTGTAATTCTTATTAGTTCAGTAGTTGTGTTGAAGCATAGCATGGCAATTTTCAATGTTTGATCATCTACCTCAGGTATTGACGTGACCATAAATCATACAAATCTAGCTTCTCACTCAACCCTGGGATACACGAATAGCGATGATTCCTTTCTAGGGGGAATCCATGGACATATTGCATTTCAGATCATTTCATGACCGATTGGTTATGCCGTGATTATGTCTCCCATCTGCTTTGTTACTCCTCCCAGTTGAAATTAACTACAATCCGCCCTGCCACCTGCCCCCCTCGCAACTTCTCAACTCCTTCGGGCAACCTGCTAATAGGATAAACCTCGGAAACCTGCTGCAGCATACCCCGCTTCGCAAAATCCAATGCAGCCGCAGTATCCCTCCGAGTACCCACTAAAGACCCCTTAATGCTAAGGTTCTTGAAAATAAACTCACAGGGATCGGCCCCTAAAATTGTCGAACCAGCAGGAGGCATTCCAATACACATAACAACTGCCCCAATCCGCTGACCAACGTAGGAGACGGCATTTTTGTATGCTGCAGGTGCAGTGACGAAAACACCGTGGACTCCCACTCCATCAGCGGTTTCGATCACGGATTTCACGGGATCCTCAGTCTCTTTGAAATCGATAAAAGCTTCGGCTCCCATTCTGAGGGATAATTCGCGCTTAGAGTCACCTGTGTCAACGACAATAGGTCGCATTCCCATAGCTTTAGCGAGTTGTGCACCCTGAATACCCACGCCACCTCCTCCACCTGGGAAGACCACCCAGGATCCGGCGCGAACATTGGATTCAACGAGCGAACGATACATCGTGCTTGCACTACACATAATCGGTGCAGCGACTTCATCGGAGACGCCGTCTGGAATAGGCGATGCGTATCGTGCGGGGGAAACAATGTATTGTTGATATGTACCTAAAGATCTATAAGGATCATTTCGGGGAAGAAAGAGTGGTTTAACATACCAGGTGTCATCAAACCAGTGTGAATAGCCGTCTTGCAATATGTTTCTTTATCATCCCAGCACATCGCGCAAGATCCGCAAGTATCAGTGATCGGCTTGATGCCTGCCCTATCACCCAGCTGAAAATTCTTAACATTGGCGCCAGTCTTGACAACGATACCGGCGCCTTCATGGCCCGGCGATCGCACGCCGAATGTGGACATCGGTGGTACACCGAGATCGCCTTTCATCATGTGGATATCGGACGAGCAGAGGCCGGTGAAATTGAGCCGAATTAAGATATCATCGGGCCCTGGTAAAACAAAATATTAGCAACTTATCGACCGTAGAAGATGCCGATTAGTATATAAATACTCACCAGGCTCAGGGACAGGTACCATCTGCACCTCAACCCGAAAGTCGGGCCCCTCATCAACGACAACGCCGGCTTTGCATAGAGCTGGGATATCAAACTGCAGAGTCTGGGTCTTGGGATTCATTTTAACGTGTACTGGTGTAATAAAGTAAGAGAGAAGTCTTTTAATCCCATTTGGAATTCACGCTTTAGTGTGGTATAAGAACTACGTCGAATGGTGGATCAGACACCGAGGCAGCCAGTTGCGGAAACCGACCGCTGCGCTGCGATACATTTTATTACTACGTATTTCCATCGGCTTGGCTTTTACTTTGCCTTGTTTTCCCTCCTCGGAGACGATGTGTTTCTCCCGTATTTCCGTTTATATCCGAACAAGGCTGGGCCGTAGATTAGGAGCTACGTGTATTAAACCTCATACTAGAAATTATGTGCCAGTCCTCCATTTCCTATTACCGTGAGACTCTATAATTTCAGTGTTTTCCCTGGGGTTACGCCTGCCCGTGTATGTCCAAGTATAAAGAAAGATATCTCAATATTTCAAGCCCAGTACATTGTACTTCCAGCACTCTTGCTATGATCATCGCCAAATCAATTTATACACCAGAGATGCATCTGCACAATAAATTGAAGATGATATTGTACACCACACAACCTTGCTTTTATCATAAGTGAGTAACAATCTGCTGAATTACAAAATGCAACCTCCAGGGCTGGATTGGAGAGGCGGAATACTTCCGTTGAGAGCAGCCCCTTTTCGCTTTTTGGCATATTACATCTTGGATATGCTGCTACTACTTTTAGATTGACATCTTGAAGACGAGGTTTACACTTGATCTTATTCATATAAGGGGGCGGACCCTTGCGCAGCAACTTTGGGTGGTAAGGGCTTCACATCATTTAGGGGATATATATATATGACCACTGAGGCACTGTTCTTAATTTTTTGATAAGTGATATTCTAAACAAGACCTTTGGCTATTTGTAGATTATCTAGGTATAGTTCACATAACAGGACCTCAAACGAGCTTTTCAAGATCACGACTTTACGAAAAGGCTACTTAAGCAGATGTACCCTCTAAGTGGCAAATACAAGTGTCCAAAGCCAGAAGAGACACCTAAACACGTAGCAAGCAGTAACCGAGGAGTGTGGGGATAATCCGCAGTCGAGTGGAGACACTCCAGAACTTACTTCCCCGCATTATAATTCTGGCAGAGCAGCTATAAGCCCTACTTCTTTCTTATAAGCCCTTTGAGTGGTTACTCTTTTCGGCTAAATGGCCCTTTGACGCGTTGCCATAAGATGCACATGCGGAGAACGTACATGATTGCACCGAAGCTGATCTACAATGCACCAATTCCCTATCAAATAGTTGGTTGGCACCTCCGGCGGAATTCCGCACAGACAAAGCCATGCTACCTGGCAGGCGTTGAAACATAAACAGACGCGATTCTAGCTTGAGAGGCGTAGATCCAAACAATTCAATACCGACTTGGGCTGACCAGCCTAGATATTCCATCTTGCGCCAACAAGCCTTTTGCTGGTAACATACCTAGAAGGACGAATTGATCAATCATGGAAATGAACCATGATGAAGGCGTGAGTAATCCTCCGTGTGGGCGCCATGACAGTTGGCAAACTAACTAGTAGTCGTCTCTAGGTTCTCCATCAGTAAGAGCGCCTATCACCTGTGGAAATACGTCTGCTAATTATCTCACTCTTACTCTAGAATTGAGGAGGAGCTTGGAACAGCCATCTATCCGGGCACGGAGATCATGGCTGATGTGGGCACACATCATTTCGTGAAGTCCTCAGCGAAGTCCAGCCGAGTTCTGGTACCCCAACCTTCGCAGGATCCTCATGATCCCCTGGTAGGTTTAGTCTTCAAGGAAACTCTGTTCAAAAGAAAATTGGTTCTAACACTACGCTAAATAGAACTGGAGTCCGTTTTGGAAGATGAGTGTAATGGCCATTACCACGGCGACATCCTTCAGTCAGGGCTTGGGACCTCTGGCGTTGGCACCTATGTTTCCACAATTAATGGAATCATTCGATTCTGATCTCCCGGGCGTTGTGCAATTTACAGGAATCTGCATTTTGGTGCTAGGATTTAGCAATTTCTTCTGGTAAACTTCCATCCACTAACTCCAAGAAATGAAATCACTCACAACTAACGGTGCAGGATTCCCCTTCAAACATGCTACGGTCGACGACCTGTCCTGATATTTTCAACCCTCATCTGCCTCGTTAGCAATATATGGCGTGCAGTAGCAACCACTTACGGCAGTTACATAGGCGCCTGTGTGCTTAATGGATTTGGTGCCGGTCCTGCAGAGGTTAGGCGCAATTCCCGAGAACTCGCTGCTTGGTTGTTGTAGAGTTAACCATTTACTCTAGACTTCTCAACCCGAGATTACCGCTGATATTATATTTCTTCACGAGCGTGGTGCGTACAATACCTTGTATTTCACAGCGTACTTTGGTTCAATGATAGTAAGGAGACTCATCCACCTCTAAAAGGCCATCCGTTGACATTACATAGGTCGGTCCTATTCTAGCAGGCTCGATGGCTGAGCACGTTGGCTGGCGCAGTTTCTTTTGGTTGAACGTGGGTCTCCTAGGCCTCGTGCTTATCCTGCAGATTATCCTCCTCCCCGAAACTAAATGGCACCGCGTTCACCCTAACGAGACACACGGGGCACCTTCTACAGACCAGAAAACAAATGGGCCAGATCCTGAGAAGTCGGTCGAAGTATCACAACATGAAAATATACAAGTGGAAGTGCTTCCTGACCAAGATCCATCTCTAAACCGTGGTGGTCCTTCGAAGCAGCAATTCAAGCTATGGCAGGTGGATGGTGTTACTCTAAAATCTGTCCTTAACAGCTTCTGGATTCCTTGGAAGATGCTAACATTTCCTATCGTTATGTTTTCTGCTTTTGTTGTGTCTTGGACGTCAAGTTGCTTCTTGACACTTAATCTCACGCAAAGCCAAGCCTTCGCAAAACCACCATATAACTTTGACAGTCAAACCATTGGCTTTTTTAACTTTGCTATTTTGATCGGAGCATTTATTGGGCTGGCAACTAATAGTCCTTTCTCGGATTGGATTTCTATGAGAGCCACTCGCAAAAACAATGGCGTTCGAGAGCCAGAAATGCGTCTACCGGCTATGGCAGTCTATGTTGTGATTATGATCATTGGCAATTTTGTTGTGGCGTTTGGATATGAATATAAATGGGATTGGCGGGTATGTCCTTTATGTTTGTAATACTTGCGAAAATTGATCTAACTGTCGCAGGCAATTGTGATTATTGGATATACTGCAGCTGGTATCCAGGTTGCAGTTCTACCAGCCATCGCCAGTACTTACGCCCTTCGACAGCTATAAGCCTGTTGCAGGCTCGATTTTTGTGTCTATCACTGTGAATAAGAATTTGTGGGGATATGGCTTCAGCAATTTCATCACCAAATGGGTCCAGGAAAGTGGATTTATCAAGCCCATTATGATGAATATGTGCTTGTGCACGATGTGGTGTCTCTTTGCGATCCCACTCTACTTTTACGGGAAGAAACTCAGAGGGTGGACTGCCAAGTCCTCTGTACACAGGTTATAACCTTTGGGGCTAGTTGATGGAGGTTAGATCGAGCTACAATGTCTAACTATCATTTTCGTGACGAATCCTCATAACTAACGAGATATATATTATGCGAAACATCCCTACATATGTAAGTAGCTATTATTATCTGTATCATCTTCTCATGATGGCATCTGAAATTTTATATGATTGAAGAATTACCAGAAATTATTTAAATTTTATAGTACTCTATTAACTATGTTTCCACGTAGAGGAGTGGTTATGCATAAAATTATTATGCAAGTGTTGTGTTGAAGGCGCTTACCTAATGTAGTTTAGCTCAACCTCGGGATGACGAAAGGCAGTGGCGCCTATATGGAGTTCTCCAAGGTTCCTCCTGTGCTCCCCTCCTGATATCTTATGCTGTGCAAACACAACGGACATCTACTCTAACTACAATTCCATATACACAGACATGGCAAATGTCGCATTAGTCGGCGGTACGGGTATGGTGGTAAGTACACATCCCGCAAACAAAGCTCCTCAATCTACAACATGGCGAAGAACCCGAGCTAAGTGGCATAACCAACAGGGCTCCCATATCCTCACCAGCCTTATTTCCAACCCCGCCGTAACCCGCGTGGACACCATCTCCCGCCGCACCCCACCAGCCACTAGCGACACGCCCCCAGCCAAACTCACCAATTTCGTCTCCGGCGATACTGCCACCTGGGCAAGCCAGCTCTCCTCCCTATCCCCGACCCCCGACATCTTCTTTTCCGCCTTTGGAACAACAAAAGCAGCCGCGGGCGGGTTTGACAACCAATACAAAATCGAGCATGGGCTCAACGTCGAGTTGGCCAAGGCCGCACACGAAGCTGGCACCAAGGTCTATGTGCTGATCTCCTCTACCGGTGCCAACAAGGATTCCAACATTGCCTACCCCCGTATGAAGGGTGAAATCGAGGAGGATATCAAAAAGCTTGGCTTTGAGCGCATGGTTATCCTGCGTCCTGGGCTGATTGCTGGTACTCGGGAGGAAAGCCGGCCATTTGAGGCTGGGATTCGGTTCATTGCGAATTGGGCTGGCAAGCTGCACTCCAGTCTGAAAGATGGATGGGCTCAGGAGGCGGATGTTATTGGAAAAGCTGCTGTCAATGCTGGTCTTAAAGCCCTAGAAGGTGATGTTCCTGAGGGCAGTGAGAAAGTGTGGACCTTGTTTGGCAATGATATTATCAAATACAGCAAGGAAGCCTCGTCTTGAGCGCCTTGGTGCGTCAAAATGAGAATATGAGAATACGGACACTTCTAATTTTTATGTTCCGGGTTTTATGACGTTACGCGGCTATGGACATACCTACTTGATAACATTGATTGGAACTCAGTATGAAATGTATTTTTGGAAATGCTGAACTCTCTACATAACATTACCATTTGTCACCCGTGATACTATAAACAAAATAACGCATTCAATCCCGATACGAAACATGAGTCCCATCCTCCTTCACATGAATACCACGACCCTTCTTCGACACCCCACGAGAGCTAGAAGCCCCTCGATCCCGATTTCGATCAGGCCCGTCATCGGCCTGGCGCCTCCAAGCACTAGCTTCCTTATTGGCCGGACTCATATTTAGAGGGCTTCCCTTCTTGCCTTCTTGCTTGCTTTCCTCTTCAGTAGCCGCGAGCTCGCTCTCGGGTGCTGTATTCTTTGGGTCGAATGCAGAGGGGTGCTTGGCAACCTCGCTGTCCGTACCAGATTTGGCAGTCTCTGAGCGCTCCGGGCTCAAGGTTTCACGGTCGAGCGAACCCTGGCCATCTTCGATCTGGTGGAGTGGGGTTGTGCTGAAGGGCGTTCTTGTCGCTGTTGGGGTGGCGAGGGATTGGGTGATGGTTTTTGAGAACTGAATCCGGCTGGTTCGAGTGGCTTGCTGGCTTGCTGAGACGATGGCTTTCCACATTATGTGAGTGTGTGAATGTGTGAATGTGTGAATGTGTTGGAAGTGGTTCGTATAGATATCTCGTTGAGGTTGGGCTTGAGTATTGAGATTGCAGGATGCAATGAATTGGGGGAAAAGCAATTACTTAGAAGAATTGCTCGTTTCAAGACTGTTATTATCGGACAGAATCCATTACAAGAAGTCTGTCATTCTTCTCTGTTGTTCCAGGTTCTCTAGACCTTAGTATCATATTGACGTCACCTGGTTAGAAACAGCCAGACTAACCTAATCGGGTAATGAGCTTGCCCTAAGAGGCCAGCTTCGGCACTCGAGACCTTTCCCTTTCCGTTTTAGTGCTCACATCCTGCCGCTTTTTGATGGCTTAATCACGGGCCATTACATAATCAACGTGTGCGTTATTGGCCTCGGGGGTTGTTGTGCCATTAGGCGAACTAGCTGATCCTAGGCTGGCCGGGTCTAGTGGACGCGTGGAAGACTTACAACGGTAGTTTGTGGCCCAAGGCGAGCAAATCATCGCGGTGCAATATCGTAAGGTCCGATTTCGGTTCCTATCAAGCAAAAGCGTTGAAAATGCAACACTAGCTAAAGAGGCGAGATGGGAGAGATATGACCGCCCTCGTTACCTTCAAAGCGATATGGAAGACATGATAGAGGTCGCGCTGGATGATGATCTTTCACTCGAAGGTGACCGTGACAATTATATAGCTGGGTCGGAGGAAACAGTCTTTTCCAATATTGGCGTTGACTTGGGATAGTGATCTCTGTCTGCTGATCGCAAATTTCTATATACTCCCCCGAAAACATGAGCTTTCAGATACACACCGTCGTGCCGTTTTCCAGTACGAGTTAGGAAGTAGTTGTAAACAGAAGTAGTCATAAGAGGCCTTCACAGTTATAACCTATCATTTCTAGATTTACTACTTTTAGTTTAGTGGTCAATATCTCGTTCTGTACTCTACACAAAGCCTCGCCTTCTGTTGTATGAGCATAATAAGGTTAAAGTGATCTCTTGATGCTATATATTATCTTCAAGTTCTGCAGATACTCAGCAGAGTACTAGTATATATAGAATTGATAGTAGTAGATTTATGCGATTGTATATCATTGTACTAGTAATCCTTTTACAAGTTTTTACATCTCCTTAGTGGTCTAGTTGCTTAGGAAATTGAATTGTATGTGTAACATGAATCAAACATGGGCTGCCAACATTGAAGTTGAGCACCTTGGCTCCTGCAATTCTGAACAGCTATTAGAACTAATACACATGAATGTACATATTATTCAATACAGGAGAGATTTCAGACGAAAATCTACCAGGCACAGAGACCCTTGAATCCAAAGTTTCAACACGCCAATACCAGTTGATCCTTGTGGATTATCTAGCATCGGAAGCTCATCCCAGCTGTACTCGGATAGAACCTGATGTGGCTGTTGTCGCTAGATTATGGCAAGTCTCATAGGCGTGGAATTGTGGGACAAGTTCAACAAGGCACCTTAGTTGCCCTGCAGGACAAGCGAAGGTCTCCACGCCTTCCAGGCTCGGCCAGGCGAGGAGAGGATAGCAGACAACATGCTTGTCATCTTCTCTTCATCGCATCCTTCGTGGGCACTGTGGTCTTCAACGCCACCGTAAATGCCGTCATCACCATCGTGCTCCAGATTTTCCTCGAGCTGGATGGTTGCATATTCAGGGAGTTCCACCTTGACCAGGCTCGCCTCACTAGGTGTTCCCTCAGCATCCATAACGAAAAGCATGTAGTAGCCAGGAAGCATGACACCACCGTCACCTGGGAGGTTGGAAGTGAAAACATTGTCGTCATGGCCGTTCACCTCGATCGGGACACGGCGCTGGTCAGTGTTAACAGTGTGGGTAGTGGTTCCCTGGCGAACGAGAGATGCAGAAGCAATGTGCTTGTCGGTCGCAAATTCCAAGACACCGCCCAGGATAGCTCGCTTATCAGCGCGCAGGATGGTGGGGCGTTCACGCCGTTCTCCAGAGGGAGTCAGGAGGTAGGGAGGAGTGAAGATCTGGGCATCGTAGTGGTTCGCGGTGCAGTTTCCGCAGAGACCGCCGCCACCGTTCAGAACAGTCGCATCAGGGAGCAGCATAGAGATGCTGTGGTAAACACGGATAGTGTTTTGACCGTTCATGACTTCGAAGGTATCAGTCTCGGGGTTGTAAATTTCTGGGTAGAACTGGACCGTCTTCTCGTTGAAGGCCTCGCCAAAGACCTGGCCACCAGCAGTAAAGACCTTGCCGTCGGGCAGAACAACAGAGGTGTGGTAGACTCGGGGGGAAGTTCATGCCGCCACCAGAACCTTTGCCGGCGACCTCGACGAGAGGCTCTTGAAGTGGAGCACCCAGTGTAATGATATGGGCGTTCTTGGACCCGTAAGAGCCATCGTAAGAGGGCTGACCTCCGAAAGTGAGAATCTTGCCCTTAACAGCGTCAAACATGACAGCGCTGCCCGACATGGAGTCTCCATCATCCATTCGTCTTCCAGCGGAAGTGGTAGTTCCGCTGCCCTCAACAGTGTACCAGTTCATCTTTACACTGGGACCAGCCTGGAAGGCAGTGGCATCCTTCCAACCAAACAGCCAGGCGTGGTTATCGGCGCGCCAGCGACCCAGTCGGTCATTGGTCAACATGGCGTCAACCTTTGTTCCGGAGCGGGTGTACCACTTCCTCTTGATGGGGTTGTACACTTCGCCATTCTTTTCCACCTTGTTGCCACCACTCCAAGAGCCACCGATCGCGAAGATTCGGCCGTCGGATAGAGTAGTTGTTGCATGGTACCCTCGAGGCTGGCGCATGTCAGGGCCCGACTCCCAGTTCCGTCCGTTGTAAATACTGGTTCTAGCAGCGTCACCACCGCCGCTGACGACGATACTTCCATTAAAGTCCATGGCCATGCCGGGGCAGAACATGTCATGGTGGGTTTCCTCAACCACGCTTTGCGTGATTTCCTGGGTTTTGGGGTTCCATGTGGTGGTGAGTGTCTTGCCACCAGGGGAAGCAAAGAACTGGTCATCGGCCCAGGCGGACCAGAGCATGATATGACCGTTCTGCTCCTGGGCGGAACTGACGGGGATGACGGGTAAATCGAGAGTGGGGCCCCAGACACCCTTGCCGGGCACGGTGGGGAGAACATAATCGGCAGCGTAGATACCAAGGTTGACAATCGAAATAGGCTCATACCAGCCAGGCGCATCGGGAAGAGCAGGAGTATCAGCAACGAGCTTGACATAGCGCGCAGTGGTGGGGTTGAAAGCAGCCAGCTTCATGGCTCTGTTGTCAGCCCATTTTCCGTAGGCCACTGGTTCACCCCAGTCTCGCGCATCCTTGCTGAGGTAGATACGGTGGGATTGAATCAGACCAGTGGCATCTTCTTCCAACCGAGGTAGCATGGTCAGACCGCTGACATTGTGGAACGTTTTCAGATCAATCGAGATCCACGGCACCCCATGACCAACGTTGTCGCTCTCCCAGTACGTCTCACTCTTGCCATCAACCGCGTGTTCACAGTTGTGGCCCCATTTCTCACCAGTGCAAGTGGTGCGGAATTGCTTGACATTCAACAGAGTCGAGTTGACGGGCGGTGACTGCCATTGAATAGCACCAGTGACGACGCCATTCATGTCAGCGCGGTCGGCCTGAGTTGACTCGTAGGAGTACCCGGCGGGTTTGTGAGCGCCAACAGAGACAGCTCCCAGAAGGAGACTGGCTGCGTATGGGACTTTCATTGCGAATGGAAAAACAGATTGTTGACAGCAGTGGAAGCAGAAGTTCCTCGCCAGGCAAATTATAATGAAAAGGAAGGATTCCAATGCCAGACTTAAAACTAAGAACAGGAAGCTCGGGCGAGGGTCTATGGGAACAGTGGAGCTGACACCAAACCCCCTAGTTCATGATCGCCACGGCCACCTTGCGCGGGCTAGTTAAGTGGGTTTCTGGAGGTATGAATGCGACCATCATAGGCCCCACAATATCTGCTAGGGAGAGAGGTTCATCTCGGCTGAACAGATGCAGCTCTTCAGCTGACGCCACAGGATGTATCGATCATCATAGACTCCACCATATCAAGTAGCGAATTTCATCTCTGTTGCATAGATATGGGTCTTCAGCTGACGCCACACACAATGGATCATTATTCAAAAAATGTTTTCGGAACCATTTTTCTTCGACTATATGTCGTAGTACGTCAGCTCGGTCGGATCTCGAGCAGAAAATGCAACAATAGAATTATTATTTCATGATGACAGTCTAGGAAACCTCCATTTGCCGTAGTTTCCCGGATGTTTGGATTTTCAGATATTCAGATTTTTGGTTCAGCTCGTAGGTCCACAGGGAGCTCCACAGGGAGCTCCACAGGGTAGTTGGGGAACCTTTTGAAAGAGATGCTAACCTTCTAGCGTATGTATCTCGTTACGGAGCAATCCGTAGATAGTTGAGAAGTTGTAAATCCCCACGAACTACTCCGTACCGGACTGGAGTAGGGAGTAGTGTGGACGTCGCTAACTACAGTAAAACCCCGTTATAACGATACTTTTTCCGTGTCTGAATTGATCCATACAAAAATCGTTAATTCATAATTTCTCCCATACAATTATCGTTATATAACCCATTTCAACCAATAAAAATGCCTTGCCAACCGATTCTAACCTCCCAAAAGGCCCCTTTCTTTCGTATAAATAGCCTACTAATTAGTTCTATAAAATACATAACCATCGTACCTCTTAATATAGTTATAACTTCGGGGAATCCTTTCTACCCGATACTTTTACCTTAACGCCGACTACGGAGAAGAAAGATGATGGATTCTAGCTAGAGGCTGGAGGTCATGTGACCGTCTAAGTTACAATACTAATTCAAGGAAGTTAATTACTACGGCAGCGATATTACAAGCTTTTGGGGGTCTATATTTGTACATAAACCAAAAATATATATTTAATATGTGGCACCTCGATTTAACGAATACCTTGAATATAACGATATTTTTGCCGTGTCTACTGAGTAGAATACATGTATATCGTTATAAATAGGTTTTTCCTGTCGTACAGATGTGGGTACCTCATTATCCATTTAAGCCTAGCGTCCAAGGTGGAGAATTCACTTTGTATAACACGATGTCGACTATGTGAATGTCAGCTCCTCATTACAAAATACGGGTCGAAAAAGAAGATAGATACAGTATACTTTGGCGGTCAGACCTTTGGGATTTGTTGGGTTCTTGTCGATCACACTGGGGACTAGTTACGAGGCACAGCGATCGACGATCGAATTACTCTGTCGATAAGATTTGTGGGAAAAGCAATGTAGGGAGTGGATACCCAGACCCATAAGAGGGCCGAGCCAGGGTGGACACTATGATGTTATTGAAGTCTTCGAGGTGTAACATGTCCGATCCTTTCATCTGCACGAAGCATATCGCATGCACGAATTGTGGGTTCCTTTTCGAATGTCCTGTATCAATTGGTGGCGCTCTGCATATCTTTGAAGTGATAGATAAAAAAAAACCATTCCAAATCAATCATCCGGAAGGGCGCCAAGTCTAGTAGAATCTCTCTGTCGAATCTGTGTTGAAAGCTGAAACCGTCAGCACACTTCATTGTTCAATCTAATACCCCACTATGGTGGGGATAATTCCGACCTACAGAGTCGAAACAGCAAGAATCCCGATTTGGTAGTGTTGATGGTTCGCTCATATGCAACGAAGGTGGAAGGATAGAGAAGCGTGGACCGGGATTGAAAATGAAGAGGATCTTATTGGATACAATATCGTTTACTCACGGTGCAGAAACAATTCACAGCTGTGGATGGTTAGGCATAAGAACTCCAACCCCTCCTCGCTTTTAAATTATTTTCTCTAAAGTCTCTTCTTTCATTATATCTGTATCTTTGAGAGTCAGAACAATGAGTCATCCAGTAGACAAGACCAATATCCAAGGTGGCATCTGGCCGCGCATGCCAAAGGAATTTGAGTCCTACCTATTCTACAGGATCACAAATGCGAACAGATTCCGCTATGACCTGAGGGAGTTTATCGACGAAATAACCACAGGAGAGCAATGTGAAGAGCGCCTGGAAAGGATCAAGTCGGCACGAGAGAATGGCAGAGCTGCAAAAATCCCCTTGTCGGGAATCAATGTGTCTTTCACCCATAAGGGGTTGCAAAAAGTATGTTTGGCTATTTCTGTTCACCATTGTGATCTTTTTTTTTTTTGGAAAACAAAAGAAAGAAAGAAAGGAAAACAAAAGAAAAGTTTATTAACAACAATACAACAGTTGGACCAAGCGCAAATCAAGGATGGCCTTTTTGAAAAGGGTATGTACAGCGACCTTGTCTTCGAAGGCGCTGATATCCCAGAAAGGTTGCTTCCTGAATTCAAGCCTCCTCCTGGACACCCCGCAGGCGATGACAGCTGGCGCATCGACTTGGTCTTCACCGTGGCTGCATGCAGCGAACAAACCCTGAATGAGGGCACTGCCAAGATTGAGACAAATTTCCATCTGAGAGACTTGAACAAGTCTAGTTTGGAGTTTGTGTCCGCCAAGCATGGTCAGCGTCGCCCCGGAGATCTTCGTGGCAAAGAACAGTAAGTCCATTTCTATCGAGCAGTCGGATTATTCTAACTGTATTCGTAGCTTCGGCTTTGAGGACCACATCTCGCAGCCTCAGATTCGGGGTCTGGATCCCCAACCGGGTCCACGTGAGCCACAATTGGTTCCTCCTGGGTAATATTTCCCCCTATCTCTGTAGCAACATGAGCTAATTGAACTAGATACATCTTTGTCGGTCATGATGGAGATCCACGAAGAGACATTACGCCTCCTTGGTCTGTGGAAGGTAGTTTCCTCGTGTTCCGTCAGCTAGACGAGAAGGTCCCTGAATTCAACAAGTATATATTATCAGGCTCTCAAGGTGGAAGCTATGCTAACTATGCTCAGGTTTGTTGAGGAAGCCGCGAAGAAAATTCCGAACTTCGCCGTCGAAAATGGTGGCGAAAAGTTGGCGGCTCATATGATGGGACGTTGGAAGAGCGGTATTGTGACCTGCCCTCTTTGCTATACTCAATATACTGATACTCTACAGGCGCGCCCGTCGCTTTAACCCCCAACAAGGACGACCCGAGTCTTGCACGCAGAAACGACTTTGATTTCCGTCCCAAGCAGAGCATTTTGGGTTGTCCGTTCGCCGCGCACATCCGTAAAATGCGCCCTAGAGCTGACCACTTGCCCGACCTCGGCAATGACGACGATTTTGTGAAAGGACAATTCACCGATCCTTTGGTTCACGATACAAGCGCCGTCACGATCCAGGATGTTGACAGTGACGAAGAACCCGACGCGCCACCCCAGAGGGAAGACGCTAGCGTTATTCTGCGCCGTGGTATCACGTTTGGGCCTGAGCTTGGACCCGACGAGACGGAAAAGACCACCAAGAGCCGTGGTGTCTACTTCACCTGCTACCAGAGTGATATCCGAGATGGGTTTAATTTCCTGATGACACGTAAGCTCCATCTAAATTATTATCGTCGGGTATTTCTAACAGTTATGAAGGCTGGGCAAGCAACAGTGTTTTCCCATCATCCAAGCACAAGACTCACGAGCATGGCCCTGGAATGGATCCATTCATCAACCAGAGACAGCGTGAGGATCACCCTGAAGGTCATGTCTGTGTGCATGACGGTGAGGATTCGGAGAAGGCGCACAGGCTCGGGCTTGGAAAAGATGCTTGGGTGGATCAGCGTGGAGGTGAATATTTCTTCACTCCATCCATTCGAGGCCTGCGGTGGTTCTGCAATGCACCGCAGGATCAGTAGAAGGGTAGATTTGTTTACTTCAATTCAAAGATCCGTTTCTTCTATTCCCTTGCTGCCAAGTAACTAGGAACTTATGTAGGCTTCCTCCCCCCGTCCTCTCTCAAACAAAAAGAAGGAAGAAATCATAGGCTGCGTGAGCGTAGCCGCAATTACTGTAGTAGATCAAGGTAATAGGTAAGTGCAAAAAGGTTGGAGCTGGAGAAATTTGGAATCTTCCAGGGTTATCCTACGCACACTATTTCCGGTAAATGTTGATGATGCCTTGATGCCGCCCTATACAATGTACTGTAAATCATTCTTGTCTGAGGCCTATAACCACCCATAAAAATGAGGCTTTTGATCCCTATACAAACGGCGACATCTCCATGTTTTTAGATGGTTTGTAAGTGTAGTTTTTCATCTGCACACGAATGGCGGTATCTCCATATTTTTGGACGGTTTATAACTGTCAAAAATCAAGTTTTTGATCCCATACAAAGTGAGATGAGATATCTCCACTGACACTTGCAAACTACTAGAAAACATGGAGATATCTGAATTTGTTTGAGAAGAAAAACTTCATTTTTGTCACTTGCAAACTGTCCAAGAATATCAAGATATCTCCATTTGTATGCTGATGAAAAGCTTCACTTTTGACACTTGCAAACCGCCATAAAACATGGAGATATCTGCATTTGTATGCTGATGAAAGGCTTCATTTTTGAGAGTTGTAAGCGCCAGCAAAATCAGGCTAGTGTTGGAAGAGTCATGGTAATCCAGGTATTTTAATTCTTCTGCCGGTTTTAATTCAGGCCGCCAGGGGGTCAAAACCCCTTTTTGGGAGGGTGTTGATGTCTAGATACCTGAATTAGTACCGCTTTATACACTGCCCTAATACAATATCTGTAAATTTTTAATACATCAACCTGCCTAGTTACATAACTAGTTAGTTAGTTAGTGTTAGAAGGCTACAGGCAAGTGGAGGTGATTATACAGATACAATAGTGGTTGTATTGTAGTAATGTTGATGATGATGGAGGAGAACTGCTTGCCTACGTCAAGATCTGACGAAGGAACCGGTGCCGTGTAGGCAGGTGTTTCATTGAAAACCACGTCTCTCGAGATAACAATCTTCTTTGTAGAGACGTCATAGATCTGGTAGTGACCACGCTGATCATAACCAATCAAGCGGCCTTCCGCAGAGTGCGGGTGCAGCTTTGTCTGCCGGCGTTCTTTGGGAATCATATACCAGCATTGACAGCCAAGTGCTCGAAGGTGAGCAATGTTAGGCTTATGTCCATAGAGTTTCTCAAATGGAGTGCACTCTATTTTGGAATGATAGAGCCGATTCTGAGTGTAGTTAACACCTTGAATGATCGGGCCCCAAAGGTATTTCAGAAGTTCATGTTCCGACATTATGGCAACGAGCGGTTCAAGCAAGTGCTTGTTCTTAATCTCTAGAATGCCATTAAGACGAAGAGTGTAGGGAGGAACTGCGTCCTAAACTGATCCTCTCGAGAGTAGGTATTCACGAAGCAGTTCATGCTCCTTTGCATTGTCGCCAGCTACTCTCTTAATAGTAATGTCAAGCTGCGTCTTCAACCATTGTTCAACTTGGATGAACTTCTCAAGAACCTCCGAGCGGTGCTTTATCAATAACACCCAGCAGAAACGGGAGGCGTCATCAGTGAACGTAACGTAGTAGTTGTAGCCACCGGTTGAAGCAATGCTGATCGGTCCCCAGACATCATCAACATTACTACAATACAACCACTATTGTATCTGTATGATCACCTCCACTTGCCTGTAGCCTTCTAACAGGTTATGAGCCCGGATCCTAACAGTTAGTTAACTAGTTAACTATATGGCCACCATACAAATCTAGGTATCTCTAGTTATAGGGACTTCTAAAGTGAAGTGAATCTGAAGTGAATCTGAGGTAAACCGGAATTGAATGTATATTTCATGGCGGTTGCAAGTCCAAAAAATGGAGATACCTGATTTGTATGGAGGTCAAAAGCTTCATTTTTTGGACTTGCAACCGCCAGCAGAATCAGGGTACTTGGATTACTAAGGCGCATGTAATAGTAATTCAGGTATTTAAATTTTCTGCCGTTCTAAATTAAAGCACTATACGTCTTCGTACCCGTTTCTACGCAACGTAATTGATGTAGCCACCAGGCACAAATTCGTCGGTACCTTGCAACCCTTCCCTATAGCCAAGCAAATTCGGTACTGCCGTGCAGTTTTCGCGATCAAGAGCTGCAAGCGCTTTGAGCTCCGTGTGGGTGCGCTGGCTGACAACCTGCTGGGCTCGGACTTCTGCAGCGCTATGAAAGGTACCATCAAGAGGGATCTGCATATAGATCCGTATCAAGCCCTGCTGAGTAGGGTTTAGAAGGCTATGACAAGAGAACTTGATGACGGCAAACGGAGGCCCCGCTTCTCGCTCATATTCCTCCTGGGTCATGGTTTGGTAATCTTCGGATATTTTCTCGTCAAGAACAAACGTATGAGGGGGCGAGATGGAAGGCTGGTGGAGTTTGATTTCAGTGCCGACCAGGTGATTAAAGTTTACCGAGGGGGTCGTGAAGTCCCTAGAGCTAGACATTGCGATAAGTGAAAGGAGACGAAAGGTTGAGTAGATTCAAATTGAAAAGAAATGAAAACGCTCTGATGGAGAAGAGAGAAAAGTAGGGCGTGGAGGTGATAAAAGAAGTGATGAGCAATCTATGGATTTAGATCACTACTGTGTGTGGGGAAAAAGCATGAGTAAGATTCTTAATTGCTAAAACTAATAATGCAGGGGTTTATATACCCTGCTGGAACCATCTAAACATTGCTCAATTGTAGCAAACAAATAGCAAACAGCAAAAGGCTCAGTCTGTAGCAAACAACATTTATGCATGCATGGGAGATTGTTCAACACAAACGATGTATTAGGACACTCATTTCTATATCTGATTAATTATTCTTCTTCAATCCTACATTGTTACTTGTGTATACCTTTGAACAACCAGTGTGACTCTTTCCTTGATTATAACTTGACAACACACACGAGCAAACCAATGCCTGGGTATAGATCTACTGGGCGCTCTACCTGGAATCTTTCCTCGATACCATCGAAAGAGCCTAACCTGTAGTAAGGCCTATTGGCGGCTGAGAGACAGATCGTTAACGTTGGAAGATCGTATTGCCCACTAATTGGACACTAAGCATCACTAAGTGATCAGGGAGCTTATAATAGGCACTTACTAAGCACCCACCAAGCATCAGTCATTCTGCACATGACTGAACTGAGCATGATCACTGATCTGAGTCCGTGCTGACATCTATTTAGTGAGCCTAAGCCTGAGCACCCTCATAAAAGCAGCCGCAGATCAAATAGGAAAGCCACACACGTCAAGGAAAACCGGTACGCATGGATACAAATATAACCAAAGGTCACTTGGGAGTTTTAGCTAGTTACTAATTTGCGTTACTTTGATATATCATTGTACTTAAATATACACCGGAATTTGTAGAATATCTGCCACGTCGATATTACTCCTATAATATGTACGTAAAGACAAGGGAAGGTCTTGTTATAGAAGCAAGGTGTCAGCGGTTTGCGAACAAATTAAATGAAAGTTGGGAAAAGGAACGAAAATGTTATTGAAATCACTCATAGTGGTGCTGCTTCTGTCCGACGTAGGAACTTCTTGGGGCTCAATTGTCACGACTTCTAGTACCCGTGAACAAAGAGGGGCCAATCACTCAGCGATGAGAGCAAACATTCATGGATGCGAGTTGCGTTCGAAGGAGCGATGATCAAGGCTACGCGCAATATTGAGCCGGCCATGGGGGCTCTGCCCTTCGCTACAAGCGCACTTCCAGTTAACCGTCACATCATGCAGATCCAGTTCATATTCTGACGGCTGGCGGACCGCCGGCCCGTCAGAAGATAGCGCCAAATGATGCATGGGAGGATGACGTGCCTCATTTACGACATCTCGGTAATATGCAGAGGAGTCGCCGTAGAGGGGTGTCGAGCGCGGGCGGCGGACTGGCTCGAGAGTGGAGCGTGTCCAGACTCACCTGGATATTCGAACAACATTCATTGCTGATTCGTCAGTCTCGTAGTCTCGTCCGCATACACCCACTTCATTGTGAGGTTCTTCGGCATATTATTGTAGCATCATACAATGTGGTCGTTCGTTGCTTTTAAAGACGAGGGGCCGATCACCTACCTGTGTTTCTTCCCTCCGGAGATAGGGTAGAAGGGCGATGAGAATGAAGGGGAGCCGGAGACTGGGCCTTGTTGGAGTTAGAGGACGACATCTCCAGGTAACCCACATACAAATTCAAATGGACAACCCGAAGTTGCCCTTGGCCAATTAGCAGAAGGTTGAGGGGGTTATTGGGCATTACATCCAACATAGGTTGTTCTAAATGATGCCAGAAGAAAAAGAAAGGAAAATAGACCACCTAGAACGTAATTTAGTAGTCTGTTCGTGATGTGTACCACAAGTGGAGCATCTGGACATGGGCCCCGGGAGGAATGTCCATGACAACTGGGAACACGCGAATCCGAGGGCCCAGTACGATCCACCAATGAGATGTAGCCATAGGCCGCACCCTACGCAAGTGCTGATGAAATGCACATGCCTCTCTGGTGCAGGATGGGTGGGGAAAGGTCTCGTTAGTTGCATACAACTGACATCCCAGCTGACGGTTGCCATTGGATGATTGGGCCTGCTGCGGGTGAGGATAAGTCAATTAGCCGGCCAATCCCCATACAATTAAGGAAATGTAGGCAGTGGGCTTTTCGCTATCCAGCACCGAAGGTAGCGTTACCCTTAACGATTTGTCGCCGGTCAAAGGCAGGCGTGTGTAGGGTGCGGGAGCCTCCGTACACTTTCAGATCACGGGATCAGAAGAGCCCGGCGCTGTGGAAGCCTGTATGCGGGTCCTGGAATTCAATTCTAACGTTGAGGCACGGGCTTCCCAAGTTGATATCACTCAAAATTGGCCTGTAGTAGCTCCAACCAGATCAAAAATGCTCTAGTATTTCACCCGGCAACTTCGCTTGTTGGGCAGAAACGACAACCATGCTTTTCCCACACACACACTCGGCCTGATCCTTGCGAGGATAAAGACTGGTACACTAAGGATGGGGGAGGGGATTTCAGTGGTAAGACGGAGCGAGAGGCAAAAGAGCAGGGGGGCTTCAGAAGTTGATTCGAGAGATTTTTTGGGCCTGGATGCAACCAGCTCGCCGCAGCAAAGGGATAGATCCACAAAGTGTGACGGTCACTTTGCGGCTGCGAGCCGTCATCAGATGCCAGTTGCCAACTCAACATCTTGTCATGGATCATCTTTCTGGGTTCAATGCTGGACGTGGTTGAGTGGCATTCCCCGACGATCGCTTGTCGTATTGGTGCATTGCCCAGAACAATCGGCCAAAACGGCAAGCACAGAATTGTGCAGGATTTCCCATTCCATATTGGCAATCAGTCATATTTCGTCATTGTCAATAACGTGAATGGCGTCTGGGTCCTCGGTGGAGCTTGCATATAATCCCTAAACGGCGATCCACGGGCTTCGACCCGGCCCTCGCTACCAAGAATCGATGCAGAAAGCCAGAAGAAACGTGCCACGTCAGAGTCTCTGAGCTTTGGTGCAGCTGCATGTGGTTCAGCAATATGTGGAATGTGTCACGGTTCGTGTCTGCGGCGAGCGCCATACATCAATCCGATCCTATCATTTCCGCCAAAAGAAGCAAGTGGATGGTGATGAACACACACATGAGCGGGGGCAAATGCAGCATCCCTCTTTGCAGGAGTGAGAGATCAGCTGAACGAAAATGGATCTATCTGGCCTGCATCCCTAATTTTTGGGGTGTGGCACAAGAAATTTGAATTGGGTGGTCCGTGTCCCTGAGCCCGGGTGCCAATGATAGAGCCTCAGAGTCTCTAGCATTGCCACATAAGTGAGGGCCATTGGCTGAAAGTCATGGGCCGGAAAGATGCGGCAGGGGTGAAAAGACGGCCGAGCCTAAACTTTGATAGACTGGCGAGTAAGGCTCGGCAGGAATAACACAAGACGACAGGGGCTAATGGTTGCAACCACATGCTGAGACCCAATATGAATATCGATTATTGCCCAAATGCAGGAGACACAAGAGCCATGGAGACGAGTGAAGGCAATAACTCGGGATGTGCATGCGTATGCAATCACACAGACAGCAATATCGGATAGATACTTCTGCGGATAAAACATGGCGTTCAGCCAGAATCCCGCGTCAGTGCTCATGATAGATGAGGCACTGAGCCAATCAATAATTGCAGCTATCGAAAAATCACATCAAGATAGAACAACCGATTGTGGTGGAGTCACAAGTGGCGTGCAGAGTCCCATCACATTCGCGAAGGCAGTAGCTTTTCTCTTGCATAGAGACAGGGTTGCCCCTGGGCATGAAGGCCTGATTATTGCATTAATACGACAGCTGGAAAGTACCAGGACCGACTCGGCCATGCAGGATCAGACATGCAAAACGCAAAAGAATCACAGGAGTGCGAGTCCATGCGAACAGCATCCACATGAGAGCGGGGAGAGGCAGATGGCGACGGCATAATTGCAGTAGTCGAATCTGGAAACTAGAGGATTTGCAGCCATGAATTGAGGGATTTTCGACCCATCGTACATCATCACCATGAGGAGGAAATCGCCACGGCTGAGGGTTGCATGCATCCATGAAGCAACCGGTCGTTCATAGTGGCTCCATTCGAGATACCATGGCCATCACACCGTCTCCACTGCTTGGAGAACTGCTCACAGCCAACCGGATCAACCGTCAGGCAGGTGCGATGTGAAATTGACAGACTGGAACCATGGATGATAAGCCATCGGGCACTGACAAACGTCGATCAACAGTGGGACGAGGCAAATATGGGAGAATGCCATGGCATAGAAACTTCATCCGAAACATAAATAAGCCCGTCAACGCCCCCATGATATCGTGAAGTTCTCAATCATCCCTCCAGTTTCATGATTCGAGTCTGAAATCTTCAAGCCAGGCCAATAGATCTTCTTCATAAGAAGGATTCATTCGAAATTTGTTTCAACTTTGTTGAGCTTTCTGCATCGTTTAAAAACTCAGACAAAGGCCGGCCTATCAAATCCGACAAGCGCGGGTGTACTGTCAGGTGCAACCAATAGCAATCCGGTATTCAAGTTGAAACACAGACGGAGAGCTGTGAGCAAGTGGGTTATGTCGTACTTGCAGATTGAGCAGCACTGACAGATCTGATAGGCATGTGCTTCTACAACCAAAAGAGATTTGCGTGTGGAGACTGGAGCTGGACCAGCTTTGCTCACCGATGCAACTATGAATATCGCACCGGCGAGACATGCGGTATGAGACTTGTCAACATGACCGAGAATGAGAAGACCAACTGTCGTCTCTGTGAAAAAAATCGAAACCAAACATCGCAGGCGTGGTGCAGAAGTCGACCGTTTGGATCGGTGGAAGCGAGAAGGTGCCACACTTGTGGCCTCGATGGATCGGTCTCACAAACTCATTATGGAGTTGGAGAAGGAGATCCGCTCCCTGCAGCGGGAGCGGGATGACCGAAGGAGCACACTCCTAAGATAGGATTGGCTTGGATTTGTACAACCGGTGTTCCTTTGGGTTTTTTGGGGGTTCTTTTTTCTTTCCTTCCTTTTTGTTGGACAGGTGAACAGCAATTGTGTTGACTTGTTTCAGGTCATTGGTGGGCAATTGTCCTGTCGTTTTTTGTTACCTGTCATTGTTTCTTTAGGGGGATTTGCAGCGAGTTTCATGTTTCACCATTTGTCCGTGACATTAAGTCCGAACCGAGTTTCTGCAAGTGATGGGAGAACAATATCGCCTTTGAATAGATTGACGAAAATTTTGATTGGTTCAGACTCCGTATTGCTTTCTGTCCATAGGCTGTTAAGCTCCCAAAAAAATGTCAATAGGGACTAGCCATGTCATAAGCGCCCTGTTTTCTTGGGTGAGCGGTTCGCTGAGACAAATTGGGTCTCACAGGACAAGTATTGGCACCTTCTGCAACGAGACAAAAGGGCCATTGAGACCTGACGAATATTAAATGGCCATTCAGAATCGAGATAGTCCTTGGAACGAGAGCAGTGGTGTATGGTTGTCAGAGCGAGGACACATAGTGTGGAACAAAATGCCCCTCATCACATCCCGCACGTGATGATCCCCATGCTTAGATAACCTAATAAGATGAACCTGTCACAAAGGAGATGGATGCATCTTGAGTAGTGTCCTAGGGTAGAGTGATAGGAACGTCGAAGCTGTTCTGCTGGTACATTAGTGTTGTGAGGAGAACATTCAGGGCTAAGGTGGGCTAGGGTGGGTTCCACTTCCCTTGCTCTATATATATACCGGGCCATGGACAACTCCAACATTGCAAATCTTCAACCCATCTCTAAAACGATGAGTGTGAGAAATCTAGGTAAAATGGCGATAGACTCGACAAGTTTTAACGACATGGATGAAAGAGAGAAAGGGAAAAGGGAAGAGTTATCTAACCGAAGGGCACAGAACAGCGAGGCTGGGAACTATATATTATGACACTACAATCGGAGAATTTACTTGCGCTGGCTAGAACTTGCATGCCCCTAAGCAACACGCATGTCTCTTCAGCCTACGTGTACCTATCTGCTTCAGCATCTTCAAGACAAACAGCGTCAAATTGGGATGCAGAGTTGAAGGAGAGCGCTGAGACTGGGCCGATGTGCATGCCACGTCACAATAAGAACAACACCAGATGCAGCCATAAACAAAAGCACTCATGACAGATAAAAGAGCAATGTTTCGTTTGGGCATGAGGTGATGCTAGGATATTGCAACCGGTGATTATGGCCAAAGTATTGGATTCGAGTATCTGAAATGGAAAAAGAACAAGAGAGGATTTAATCTATTTTATGTCACCAGCCTCGGGCTCATCATCGACCTTGGCGAGCCCTTGTTCCCGGAGAAGGGAATCAATCTCATCTGCAGTCCATAGGTGGTGGTAGATCTTGCCATCCTTGGTCTTGCCCACTGTTGCGAACTCGACTGCGTAAGGTAGAAATGTTAGTTTGATGAAACACAATGCAAAAGCGATAGCCGAAAAAAAAAAAATCACTCTTCTCACTGCTCAGCTTTGTCGAGTCCATAGTCTTGCTCAGCACCTTAACAGCCATAGCACAAGCCTCCTTCAGATCGCAGTCCTCCTTGTAATCTTGCTTGAGGAGACTCTGCGCACTTGCGTTGTTTGCCCCAACGCTCGTCGCTTTCCAGCCTCCGTAATTTCCACTGGGGTTGCTCTGGTACAACTGGAATTGACGGAGGTGGTCATATCCGGCGTAGATGAAGGACACACCAAACGGACGGAGACCTCCGTGCTGGGTATATCCTTGCTTCAGATCACACAGCCGGCGGACAAGCTGTTCACATGGAATGTCTTCGTTGTACGTGAGGAGGTAGCGTTGGGCGTTCTGGCGAGCATAGTTGATGAGAATGTTGGCATCGGCGTTCATACCCGCAACGGCGCAAATCATGTTACTGGAAAATATTAGCTACTTATCCAACACCAGACACAGTAAATCTGGTTATTTGATTCGAGACGGAAGGAGGGGTGGGAAGGGGTGAGCGTACTCGTTGATTGTGTAGAGCTTCTCAGCGGACGTATCCTGCTCTAGCAGCTTACTGGTTACCTTCCTCTCAGCAGCGAGGACAATTCCATCCTTGGCTAAGACACCGAGGGCTGTGCCGGCGTGAGAAATAGCCTCAAGCGCATATTCAACCTGGTAGAGCCGACCCTCTGGGGAGAAGATGGTAGTCTATCCAACAGCGTCATAGGTTAGCTGGAGCTGCACAAAGGGAATGACGGTGTGAACAAACCCTCGAATCGTATCTCCGAGACATCGTGTATGAATAAAATAAACCAACAAAAAACTCAGAAATGGGCTAAAAGTAAGGTTTGATTGTGCGAGAGGGGTGGTTCGGGATGGTGAAGGTCGGTGGTGAAGACGTAGAAGCTCCAGGCAACTCGCCCTGGCGCGTCCTCTGTCATCCGCCAAGCTCGGACCACTTCACCACACCAAAGCTTCGTTGCGACGATTTTCAGCACTTTGACCCGCAAAGGACAGACTACGAGAGTCGACTTCCCCATTTCTTTGCATTTCAATTGATTTATCTTGATCTTCATGCTCAGATCAACGTACACCGCTCCTCCCCCTTTGCCTTCGGGGTGGACACAACATCGAGCCCCAACAGGTTAGTCTTGTGCTTAGTCCAAGTAAAAAGTTTTGGCTGTTCTAACTCTTAACCCAGGTCATTTGTACTACTATAATGCTTCAACAAAACAATCGACATATACCCGCCCTCAAGAAACAGCCCCTCAGCCCATTCAGGCCGCCCTCGACACCCCAGAAGCAACATACAACCCCGAGACGCTCCCTCCATTTTCTTCAACTCCCTATGGCCCGATAGGTTTTGGCACTGGGTCAGGGCAATTTGGCCCACCACAAAACTTTCGCGGCCGCGGAGGATTCCGCGGTGGGAGAGGTTATCATGATCGTGGACGGAGAGAACCCGAAGATCGACCAAAAGCAAAGCATCCTATTCCTGACTGCGCCCCGTGGTTACTAGTACAGACCAAGCTTAGGAGGAGATTCGTGCACAATCCTGAAACAAACGAAAGTTTTTGGAAATTTCCACAGCAAGTTTTGAAGGGCGTGGTCGAATTTGATCGCCTCGAGCGTGAGAAGAAGGAAAGAAAAGAACGGGGAGAGCCCGAGGTACCAGCGAAAAAGGAATCGCCCACACCACAGGATGGTGGCATAGAGCCCCAACCGACACCGCAAGAAGCGGAACACGCAGACTATGACTCCGAATATGAAGAGGTCGAGGTTACAGACAGCGAGGGAGAAGAGGGCCAACCATCAAAGCGTGCGCGAGCTGAAAGTGAGGGCGCCAAGGATCAGCCCCTAGAGTTCAATGAAGAAGACATGGCATACCAACTAGCAGCCATGGGTGAAGACTACGGACTGGACCCTGGGGAATATGGTGAGGTCGAAGAAAAAGATTGGGAAGAAGGTGCAGAGGGCCTGCCGCTGACAGAGGCCGATGCTGAGGCTCTCTTCCGCGACTTGCTGGATGACTTCGGAATCAACCCATTCACGACATGGGAAAACGTCATTGAAGAAGGCCGCATCATTGAAGATAGCCGGTATACCGCACCCTCGAACATGAAGACACGACGAGAGATCTTTTCCAATTGGAGCCGGGAACGAATCCAATATGTGAAAGAGCAGAAAGCGAAGCAGGAGAAGACCGACCCACGCATTAGATATCTGGCATTTTTGCAAGAGCATGCCACTCCGAAGCTTTACTGGCCGGAGTTCAAGCGCAAGTACAGGAAAGAACCTGAAATGAAGGACTCTCAGCTTGGAGATAAAGACCGCGAGAAGTTCTACCGGGACCACATCTCGCGTCTCAAGCAACCCGAAAGCACTCGCAAGTCAGATCTGTCGGCGCTGCTCAAATCTGTCCCCTTGGACTTGCTGCACCGGTCGTCGAACTTGGAAGCTCTGCCCGCCATGATAATCACCGATATTCGTTATATCGGTCTCACACCCGAGGTTCGAAACCCGTTGATTGAGGCATATCTATCTACTCTTCCTCCGGCGCCGGAGGTACAGATGACCGCAGAAGAGCTAGAAGAAGTCGACCGAAAACGTGTCGAACGGGAGAAACGCGAGAGGGCCCTTGCAGATCGGGAGAAGCGGGTGGAAGACGAGAAGCGGAGGCAGCGAGGAGATCTTCTACGTGGCAAGCATCTCCTCCGAGAAGGCGAGGCCGAGATTCAACAAGCAATGCGCGTCAACAAGGACGGACTAATGAGCTACATGGATGTTGATCAGGGGGCAGAGGAGGAACAGAAGCCTAGTCAATAATAGTTGTTCACTGAATATTACATGACTTTTGTCGAAATAAGGACAGCCAAGCTCATATTATACATCAAGAGGCAATTTGCTTAAACCAATGCCGTTCGGTTCCTGAGGGTATCACTGTAGATGAGGGAAATCATTTCCTGCGTGTAGACGATTCGTCATTTCACCGTCGATCCAATCATTTAAATCTCCAATCATCCCAATCCTCGTCATCATCGTCTTCACTCTCGCTTTCAACGTGCTCCGCTGCGGCAGATCCCATCGGCTCGTCCTGTGTTTGATCCTTGGCGCGGGCTTCGCGCAGTTCCTCACGTTTTTGTTTAAGCCTTCGCACCCGCTCCTCCAGCTGATCCATCTCGTCGAACTCTTCCTCCAAAAGGCGTGCGGCATCCTCTCGCTCGCCTTCCATCTCTGCCTCACGAGTGCGGACAGTCGATGCCTTCGCTCTCTCTTCCTGCGCAGCGATTTCGGCAGCTGTCATTGGTGCCGCGGATATCGTAGCCTCCGCTCTAACAGCGGCCGGTACATGTGGCTCATCAGACTGCTCGGCGACCTCGCGTTCAAATGCTGCCCATGCTTCTTCGTCAACAGGAGGGGAAGGATCTTGGGGCAGCTGCGTAGTTGGTTCTTCTGCGAGGTCTTCGGTTGGCTCAACAATCTCTT